CTTACACAGTAGCAGAGAAAGGTGTAGCTGAAAGAAGGAATGGTGTTTTGCAAACAATGAAAGATTCATTATTAGAGGATTCTGGTATGAGCAGGTCATATTGGGGAAAAGCCATATTGACTGCAAATTATATAGTTAACAGGCTGTGGAGTTCCTCCGTTAATAATACTCCATATGCCATTCTATATGGGAGAAAGCCATCACTGGCACATTTGAGAATTTTTGGAAGTACTGCATGGGTCCATATTCCGAAAGCAATCAGAAGAAAGGGACAGCAAAAGGCAAGAAAGCTCAGGTTTGTGGGCTATGAGCCAGGATCAAAAGGATATTGCTTTAGCGATGGAAGTAAAAGAATTGTAATTTCAAGATCTGCTAATTTTGCAGAACAAAATTGGGACAGAATTAATGCAAATTCTGGGTACGTCTCACTTAATGACGGTGATCTATTTAATGACAATAACTCATTTAATGATAAAAAATGATTATTGAAGATGTCAGTGTTCAGGGAGGAGAGGCTGAACAAGACATGAAACCAGAAAGAATTGAGACACAGGAGCAGTTAATACCACGTAGGTCAGAGCGATGTAACAAAGGAATTCCGCCTGACAGGTATTCTGCCAGCAAGGTAAAGGTTTGCAGTGTGTAGTATGAGCCAAGAAGTTATAAAGAAATGTTGGCATTATCAAAAGCTGAACAAGAAAGATGGAAAGAGGCCATGGATAAAGAGATGAAATCCATGGGAGACCATGAAGTATTTAAATCAGTGACTTTGCCACAGGAAACCAAAGCTGTGGGTTGTAAGTGGGTATATAAGAAAAAGGTATTCCCAAATAATGATATACAGTATAAGGCCAGGTTAGTGGCACAAGGTTTTTCACAAAGAATGTGCACTACCATGAAGTATTTGCGCCAACTGTGAAAAGTGAGAGTATAAGATTAGCACTGGCGTTGGCAGTGGCATATAAGCATAAAATCTGGCACTTTGATATCACAACTGCATTCCTCAATGCTGAGTTAGAGGAAGAAATTTATATGATCCAAGCACCAGGATATGAAAACCTAACATGGTATATAAATTAAACAAGGCTATTTATGGGCTGAAGCAATCAGCCAGAAACTGGAATATCTGTTTAGATCAGTGGTTCTCAACCTTTTTAATGCTGCGACCCCCAACCAGTCGTAAGTCGAGGAGTACTCAACCGGTCGTAAGTCGAGGACTACTCAACTCGTGCAGCACTGTTTGCAGAATGGGACTTTTGGCGGGCTCAGCAGGGCAGAGACAGCCTGGACAATTCCTATTGGCTTTTGAAAACCAATAGAATAAAAGGGAGTAGCACAGCTAAGGAAAAGGGGAAAAAAATGGCGGACTGCATTGTTTGGCGACCCCCGTGAAATGGTCGTTTGACCCCAAATGGGGTCCCGACCCACAGGTTGAGAACCACTGGTTTAGATACTGCTTTGAAGGATCTTGGATTTAAAAGTTGCAAAGCTGATAATTATATATATACTGGACAGTTACAAGGAGGGAATTGTCTACTGTTATCATTTGTGGATGATCTTTGCTTCATGGCAAAGGATGCATCACAAGTCAAAGAATTTGCTGATAAATTAGGAAAGAAATTCGAATTAAAGAATTTGGGAGAAATAAAAAATTATCTTGGTGTAGAGATACAGAAAAATTAAAAAGGTGGTTATATTCTCAGTCAAAGGAGAAAAATTGAGCAGTTATTGGAGAAATATAATATGAAAGATTGCAATACTGCTCCCACACCCATGAGTGCGGATTTTTATAATAGTTTAAGTGCGGACAAAGATGAAACCTGTGATCAAGAGATATATCACTCGGCAATAGGGAGTTTGTTATATCTATTACAGTGGTCCAGACCAGACATAGCTTGCGCAGTAAGCATTTTGAGTCGTTTTACTGCTGCACCTACAAAGTTACATTGGATGGGTGTAAAAAGGGTTCTCAGATATTTAAAGGGAACTATAAATTTGGTCTTCAAATACAGATTACTGAGGAATTGAAATTAAAGTGTTATGTCGATAGTGACTATGCAAATGACATAAACACAAGGAAATCAAATTCTGGGATTATAATATTGTTTGGAGGGTGTGGGATTAATTGCACAAATGCCCATGGACATCTCCCACAAGGGCCTGAGATAACAAACGGTCTGTTTGAGACACAGGATGCATTCATCAACCATTTGGACAGACTCTGATAAGAACACCTGCTGTAGCCTTGCATCTGGAAAGTGTCTGTTATTTGATATATTGTAACCACCCCTATATACGTCTTTTGCTTATGCTGTGTGATGTAAAAACCTTAGTAACAATAAAATAGTGTGCAAGAGTCAGCTCTGGGCTCCCATCCTGAGATACCTGCTGCGTGCGTGTCTCATTTTCCATGGGAGACCACCTCAGGAGGGGCTCTCATTGGATGGAAGTCCAGAAAACAAACAACTGTTGCTATTTCAACAGAGGAAGCAGAGTTTATTGCTTTATCTGAATTGTGTTCTGAAGTAACATGGTATGTACAGTTGTTGCAAGATTTAAATATTAATGTAAAGAATCTGTAAAGGTATTTGAAGACAATGCTGCCTGTATAAAAATGGCAACTGGGGACAGGGTGAAGAACAGAAGTAAACATGTAGAACATTAAGTATTGTAATGTCAGGGAAGCTGTAAAAGGAAAATTGATTAGTTTACATCATTGTTCTTCTGAGGATAATTTGGCAGGCATGAAGACTAAACCATTGGGTGGTATTAAGTCAATAGGTCTGATGTCTCTTCCTGTCATGAAGGGAGGACTGTTGGAATATTCATGAGCAGGAAGAGTCATGTGGTAACTCAGTCAGCCAGTGTGAAGAAAGTGCTACTGAGATTGTGCAAAAGAGTATTGAGTTAGGAGCTGAATTTTCAGTCTCAGGTTTGTCTCTGTATCTCTTTGTAAGAAGTCTTCAATTGAGCTATGTTGCTATAAAGAAGAATGTACGGTATTGTAAATATTTTTTAAGTTATTTTGAATCAGCTAAATGCAGTCAACTGTGAGAGCTTCTGATTTATTTTTTCACCAACAGAGAAATTAAAATTCTCTAACACAGTCTTTGAAAGCTTAATTTACTCCTTTTGTTATATATCATGCTTTTATGATTTATGCTTGTTGCACATACAGTAGGATGTAGGCCAAAATTGTGGAAACCTTTTGGGAAAAGTGTACAGTAGAAATGCCACTTTTGGTTAAGTTTCCACTAATTTTTCTTCTAATTTCTTTATAACTGTAGCCTTGTTTACTTAATACTATTTTACATTGCTTTCTGGGCAACTAGTCAACTCTTTGCACCATTACTTTAATTGTATTACGTTTTACAAGCTCACTAAATGAAAGGAAAAAAACCCAAAACCCAACCAACTTGATAGCGATCACATAACACTGAGAAATGTCCTCCTCCCAGCTTCAATACATGACATCAATAACTGAATCCTACTGTGATCTGATTGGCTCATTGCCAAAACAAGATGACACCTGATTGGCTCTCTAAACACTCATGCTCATTGGCTACAATCTGATGAAGGAAAGCTACCTGATATCAACCTAAGCAAGTTGTCCTTCCTTTTTCTGGCTATTTGGCTATAACATTTCATAAAATTGTTGTTGTTAGTTGCGAAGTCGTGTCCGACCCATCGCGACCCCAGGGACAATGTTCCTCCAGGACTTCCTGTCCTCTACAGTACAGATAATTGAACAAACTATGTTGCATTACATTCTTGATTAAATTATCTTTCCAATGATATATTTTTATCGGACTACTCCCCCCAAAAGTGGTCTTATTAGCCATCAAACCTCAAAAATACACTTTTCCCAAAAGGTTTCCACAATTTTGCCTATAACAGCCTCCAGGTAATGCTCATGCCAAGTTCTCAGAACATTACTAACTTTCACAGAACATTGGAGTTTTCACAAGAGACCTCAAGGTGACAAAGCTAAGATCACATGAGATTTCAGCCATTTTTATATTTATACCATTAGACACACTTCATTTGAAAACAATGCTCAACATTTACCTTTTGAATTGCTGTATTTCTTTTTGATGTTGCCATAACATACCAAGAGCACATCCCAGGTGCACTCTTTTTTCCCATTTATTTATCGGTTATATCCCAATACATAGGCTTTTTTACTTCTTTAATCTCCATCAAATCTTTTAAATTATTTTAGTTGGTGGCTATGCCCATGTGGTGGTCTCCCATGGAGAATGAGACACGCACGCAGGTATCTCGGGATGGGAGCCCAGAGCTACTCCAACACCCTATTTTATTGTTACTATAGTTTTTACATCACACAGTGTAATCAAAAGACGTATATAGGGGTGGTTATAATGTATCACATAACAGACACTCTCCAGATGCAAGGCTATGCAGGTGGGTAATGATTCATGCATCCTGCTTCCCTTGTTCTTATCAGACCCTGTCCGAATGGCTGATGAATGTGTTCCGTGTCTAGTCCGTTTGTTATCTCAAGGACTTTGTGGGAGCATGTCTATGGGCATATTTATGCAATTAATTCCACATGGCCACATATTGTAAAAGGTTACTCTATTTGTTCCAGGAAAAGCAGTTCCCTTGAAACTTACATACAAGACCAAGAAGAATATTCTAGAACGATGTTGAAAATAAAATAAAATATTGTCTTCGTCCTTCTTTCATAAATAGTTTGTGGATCATCTCATGTCATACAGATGTAAGCCAGCTAGCTATCACAGCTGATTCATAAGCCATTGTTTTAAAATCCTGAATATGCTTAGAGTAATTAAAGTATTTTAATTTCCTATATATCTTTTTTAACTAGTTAAGTGCAAACAACAGCTAATACAAATATATCTGCAGTGTTATTTGCAGATAAATTTTTGCAGACTTTGAGAGCAGATAGTTTATATTGCAGAAAGACTTTTAAAGAAAATGTTTTGTACTAACCATTAAATCTTTTTTCTTTTCAGTTGTGTCCCAAATTTTTGCATACAAACTCAACCAGTCACACTTGGCCTTTCAGTGCTGTGGCTGAACTTATAGGTATGTGAACAGTATTCTACCTACTCGATTGAATCTTTTGTTATGTACACTGCATTTCTGTATATAGTTCATTAATATCTGTTTTCAGACATCTTTGGAAGTCATGATGTGGCTATTCTAACTTTGGAACTTATGATTTAGCTATTCTTTATATTGTAGATTTGCTGTTAATTTCTATTGAATTTTTAATGAACATAAGTTCAGTAGGTGATTTATGTTTTAAAGTAGAAGAATATGTCACATTTATTTATTTGTCAAATTTACATAATTGCCCATTTAACCAAAAGAACTCTAGGTGGCAAGCTAAGATAAAAAGTATAAAATTAAAAGAGAAAATGTCTTAACTTGATTTGTAGTGATTTGATAGAACAATCATGTCTGTATATAATTGGTTTGCCATTGCTTTCTCCCATTGTTTTCCTGATTTCTATTTTCCTCTCCACCTAGACGATCTCAGAAAGAAAATTTTTGTTTGATTGTAGTGGTAGAATATTTTTTTACTTACACAAAAGTCTATTTTATGTTTATATTTCTAGCATTACAACAAACTGATGCATATTTTGAGATGAGTACAACTGGGGAGGAAAAATAGTTATGTAAATCATCATGATAATCCTAATAATACTTATGCATTGTTATTTTAGATAATGCATATGATCCTGATGTAAATGCTAAACAGATGTGGATTGATAAAACAATTATAAATGAGAATGTATGTTTAACGTTCATGGATAATGGGAATGGCATGAATGCGGATAAATTGCATAAGATGTTGAGGTAAGCAAGGTTTACTTCCTATCCATGCTGAACATATTTTAGAATTTAAAAATACAAGCTTATAGTCCTCGAGTTACAACCACAGTTGAATCAAAAACTTTCTGTTGATAAACAAGACAGTTGTTAAGTGAGTTTTGCCCCATTTTACAATCTTTCTTGTCACAGTTGTTAAGTGAATCACAACATTGGTTTAATTAACACAGTTATTAAGTGAATTTGGCTTAACCACTGACTTCGTTTGTCAAAAGATTGCAAAAGGTGATCACATGACCCCAGGATATTGCAAAAGAGGTGTGGTGGCTTAGCAACTTAAAATGTCAGCTCTCTGTATTCCAGCAGTTTGAGCCCTAGTATTGCATGATGGAGTGGGCTCTCCTCACTTGCCTCAGCTTCTGCCAACTTAGCAGTTTGAAAGCATGCAAAGTAGATAAATGGGTACCACTTTGATGGGACTAATAGGGGAAGCAAGAAACCAACTAGCACTGGACAGCCCAAATGAGAGGTGAAAACCTGAGGAGAAAAAGGCCCAGACGATACTTACACTCCCGCAGAATGCCATTAATTGCTTTATATATGGAGCTAGTTTGCCCCCTGTGGTGCACCCTTCATAGTGCATGAGCGTGAAGTGAATGGACTAGCAGTCTTAGGCAACCAAACCTCTACTCCGTAATAACATTGTAGACTCCTGGCTTTCATGTACCAATGGCATACGCTAAATAAATAAATAATAAACTGCAACCATCATAAATACATGCAATTGCCAAGCGTACAAATCTTGATCACATGACCATGGAGATGCTCCAATCGTCATAAGTGTGAAAACAGTCATAAGTCCCTTTTTTCAGTGCCATTGTAACTTTGAATGGTCCTGTATAAACAAAGCATAATTTGGGATGAAATGTTGAACAGTTTTATTTAAATAGAATTGATTATTTACCTTGCATGCATTACAGATAAGTCTCTGAACTTGAGTCTATAATTTTATGTAAGTGTAATTAGTTTAACAACTACATATGTTAAAAGGAACAGATACATAGAGGCCTAAACCCAAGAAACATTTTGTGCAGACAATTAGAGAGTGCTCTAGAGTACTATGGTAGCTATGTGGGAATACTAGGAACTGCTCTGGAAAGCTGCTGAGAAAAACAGTGGCATAAGGAAAGCTTAGTTTTTACATTAAAATAAATATTAGAATCTAAAGAAATATGACCTTGGGCTGCACAGATTTATATTAAATGCAAATTGGTATTCTGGGGAGTGATTTCTTTATGGTTTCATAAGAAATTCAAAATGAATGACACCCTATATACACAATCCTGTTCAGAGTGAATGTGTCAGTATCATCTGTATGCACAGAATACTCTGGGCTTTTGTTAGTCTTTAAAATGAGAAGAAAGGGACAGATAACCACCATAACCAAGATGTGTAGCTTCATCCTGCTGTATTTTGAGTCTTCAGTATAAATACAATATACAGTGTAGACCTACTTTTTCAATTTCAGATTATATAATTTATAATATACTATACAGGTCTAGCAATATTAATTGTTGGAAATCAATTATACGAAAAGGTGCTTCTAAAATGTATTTGTTAACCAGGATTAAAGTTGCATTGTATTTTAGGTTAGTAATGTAACATTAACATTCTTTTCATCTTTCCAAACACATTTCAGTTTTGGCTTCAGCGACAAAGTTACCCTGAATGGCCACGTTCCTGTTGGATTGTATGGAAATGGATTTAAATCAGGATCTATGCGGCTGGGAAAAGATGCAATTGTTTTCACGAAGAATGGAGATATCATGAGTGTGGGTCTGTTATCACAGACATTCTTGGAACTTACAAAAGCAGAACATGTAATTGTTCCCATAATATCTTTGAACAAGAGCAATATCCTTTTGATGCTTTTTCTCGAGGAAATCAATGATTCAAATATGTATATTTCCTAGCATGTATAATTTTTTTACAAGTTCTTTAACTAAAAAAATGCTGCATTGTGTTATAATGTAAAATATATATAGATAATTTGAAAATTCGGTTTACTCAAGAAATTTCACATCTATTGCTCATTAAACTTTTGAGGATTGCTTTCTTTTGGTTTGGGTATATTAATGCCCAAATCGCTATAAAGTCAGTGTAAAATTTCAATGTAGCTATTACTCCTAAACTGGCTTTTTAATATACTTAATATTAACCATGATTGCATCAATAAACAGTCAGTGACATAGTGTAGGTAGCTTAAAAAGCATAGGGAGATGTTCGGTTTATTTTATAACAACTCATAAAATCCCCCTGGTTTTGGTGTGGAGAGGCACACATTCAACTGGAGCTTATGTGAATAGAAAAAAAGAGGGCAGATGTTGCTATATTTATACTACATTTGATTATTTCCCACAGTTCTTTGGAGGAAAAGAGAAATGTATTATGGTCATGATTGCATATGTACTTATGTGAGGACAGATTCTAATTAAAATACTAAGTATTAGGTCTAAGAAAGAGGTAAATAATTAAGTTTCATCTTCAACAAATCTATATTGCCATGAATTGTTGCCCTGCAGAATTGTTGGGAAAACAGGTGTACTTATTTTATCCCAAAGAATAGAAAAGCTGGAGAGTTATACTCATAATGATAGTTTTCTGGGTATCCCACTATTATATTTCATAAGAAGGTTTTTCTATTTTTTACTGTGTATCCTCAAACTAGGGATATCCCCCAAACTTAACTCCAAATGATTCTCAAGACACTTAGGAGGTTCAAAAATAGCAGATGTTAAGAATGTCTCTTCATGTATATTTATCCATACAAATATAACAACTAAATTGTGCATACTACCTTGGCATGAAAAAACATCTGAACGTCAGGAAAAACAAGATAAGCCAAAAGTGTTTTGAGAGGCAACAAAAACACTTTAATTTAATTTCTTTTGCAGATATTTATTTATTTATTTATTTATTTATTTATTTTGCTTTCCCTTCATTACATTTTTTGGGGTGATTTCTAATTCTGTATCTTGCCTCTATTTACAATCCTGTGATAATGGAAAACTCATTTGCTGACTCCTTTGCAAATATTAATAAGCAAAATGTTAGCCAAAGATGTTTATTCCCTTTCCGAAATGCATGTTAAAGGAAAATTCCAAATCTGGAAATTGTAGTCTGCTTGTTTGCCTAACAGATAATAAAAGCAAAAGTTGCAACATACAGAGGCAGAAAAAGATAGTGTTATGTCCACATCTTAGAAGCAAAAGATCTAAATCTACCTCTATGAAGTTCAGTGATTGCATCTGTGGAGAAGTTAAAAAACTGGAATGAAGTACTTGAGGTCTTAATAGAAGGCTGAGCATAAACATTTCACAATAAAATGCATTATCCCATATACAACATTCTAGAAATATATTCTGAAAAAAATGTAGTTGCAGACCTGCTCTTTGAGATAATGCTGTACTTAATATAGCCTTCTGCTCTTATTTGATCTGACGAGCTTCTAAGAAGCAAAAGGGAAGAACCAGAAATATAGAACAGGAATAAGCAAGTTAGAAAACTAAGCTGAAATTACAATTACTAGAATATTTTATAGTTAAAAATCACATTTTCAGTGTATGCTATATGCTTACAGCTTTAAATATGTATGATGGAGACAGTAATGCAAGAGCAAAGAAATGTGTAGATTTTGGTCTTATGTTGAATCAGAGATTTCCACCATTACATTTGCCAGTTCTTCCAGAACATAAGACCAGAAGGTGTCCAGATATCAGCAGAATTGAATCATTCTGATATTTGAGGTTTTTAAAACTGCAGGAAATGCTCATCAATTGCTGTCCTAATTCAGAATGTTATAGCAGACAAATTTTGTAAAATTGATACATACTACATCCTTAACATATTTTACGGAAAGTGATGAAACCAGATGAATCAGCAGCCAGTTTGAAGGCTATTCTGGAGCATTCCTTGTTTTCTACTGAAGAGGAGCTGCTTGCAGAACTTGATGCAATTATAGGAAGAAAAGGGACACGGATTATTATTTGGAACCTTCGAAGGTAAGAGGATATTTTAACTTTGATAATGCAATGTTCGTTAATTTGTTAATGCTATATAAAATAAGGCTGAGTTTATATTTACATGATAAATTAATGTGGGATTGGAATTGTGAAAAAATAGCAAGGTATTTTTGCATCAAGCCATATTTAGCATACTTCAGGAACATGTACTTAGAAAATTGACATTACCCAGAATAATAAGGAAGAGTAAAGGTTAAAACAACAGGAAATGTCTGCGGTCTTAGCCACAAGAGCTTATGGGAATGTATACATAACAAAAATATTAACCACTTATTCTTTTCTTACGCCTATGTGCATGGATTCAGAGAAATAGGTTCTGTTGGTTAGGCAAAGTCCACTGCTAATAGAAAAGCTAACCTGAAAATGGCAAAAGCAAATAAGGGGAAGGAGGCCCTAGGTAAAGGGGAGTGGAAGACGTAAACAGGGATGGAGGTTCACATGGGTTAATTAGGCACTTCGGATAGGCTGTAAACCTTGTGATCCTTGTCAAATGGGAAAACGAGGGAGGGACTTGTGCTTCAAGCCTAGGGAGTAAAATACTGCTAAAATCTTATCGTTGGATGTGCCTACTTGCTAGCCACCCACTCTTGAAAAAACATATTTTTCAATAAACTGCTTGCTGCTTCACTGAATGACTCTGTCAAATCTTTGAAAGCTGAATGTTTCTGACAGATTGCACTCAGATTTATGTAGAATTTTTTTTAGGTAAAATAATATTAAAGAATTCAATGATTTGATTTTAAAACATTCAAAATTTAAAACTTTTATAACGTTTGAAAGTTAAGACTAAAAAAAAAAAAAAGCCATAAGTTGATTTTCCATCCTTGCCTCAAAACAAAACACACAAGGTTTGTTCTGAACTTCAGACAAAATGGCCTGCTTTAGGAAATATTTTTTTCAAGTTCTGAGAAGTCTCAAGTCCCATGATTGACTTATTCTTTTGCAAACTGTAATTAGTTTAGTTTTTGTTTTTGCCTCCAATATAAAGTAGCAGATAGTGATTTCAACTGTATCACCAGGAACTAGGTGAGAAAAAAGCAATTATTTAATTATATATTGAGGTAAATGTACAGTTACTGCTGGATTTCAACCACTAAAACATCTGGCTCAGACTGGATGCTACATCTGCATGCAAATGCATGAAGAGAAAGCACTTTTATTGGGAAGTGCTGCAAAAAACAGGAAAAGGCTGAAAAGCAATTGTACCTCCAAGGAATATAGCTGCCTTTACATTACAAACACTGATACTTGAGGGATTCTCCTGATTTATTTTAATTTTGTTCTGCCATATTGTATTTTGCTTTATTTATATTTTTCTGCAGTGCATAATATAACTTGTTAATTTCTTTATAATGTAAAACATTTGCTGCATTTTTATAAGCAAGTGAGAAGACCAATGTTGAATTATACTATTAGAGCAGAGGTCCCCAACCCCCGGCCCATGGCCCACTACCTACCTGTGGCCTGTTCAGAACCAGGCCCGTGTGTGGCGGGCCGGTGCATGTACACAGCTCAGTTTGCGCAAGCCGAGTTGCACATGCGCACCGGCTTGCCACTTGCATGACCCAGTTCCCACCTTCCCCCTGCCGGGCCCCGAGCCGCAAAGGTTGGATACCACTGAACTAGAGTGATTCTGCTGCTTTGACATAGTTAGCTAAAGCTTGTAAATAAGATTGGGATATGGACTGCTAAGTTTACAACAGTCCTTTGTACTGCACTCAAGGATTTCTGTGGGATTAATTGCACGAATATGCCCATAGACATCTGCCCATAGGCATCTCCCACAAGGGCCTGAGATAACAAACGGACTATTTCTAGACACAGGATGCACTCATCAAACATTTGGACAGACTCTGATAAGAACACTTGCAGTAGCCTTGCATCTGGAAAGTGTCTGTTATTTGATATATTGTAACCACCCCTATATACGTCTTTTGATTACGCTGTGTGATGTAAAAACCTTAGTAACAATAAAATAGGGTGCTGGAGTCAGCTTTGGGCTCCCATCCCGAGATACCTGCTGCGTGCGTGTCTCATTCTCCATGGGAGACCACCTCAGATTTCCACCCAAAATTATGCACTGTGCTTTTAGCTAAGAATTTTAACAGATCATGAGATGAGGTTGTTCAATAAGGGACTTATCCTGCTATAATAAAATTATAGCTGCAAAGATTGCTGTGCACTATGATAATTACATGGATATTGCTGACAGTGTTTTCAAGTAACTGTAAAATGCAAATGTCATATTGATGAACTTTTAGATGCATATACTAAAATGTTGTGCAGGTTCCAAGGTTTTGCTTGATAAAAAATACAGGAAACCAGAAGTTGTGTTTAAGCTTTACGTTTTTATTCAGCTGAACAGAGATGGGCTCCTCTAAAAGAGAGAAGCCCCAAATGACAAGAATCCTAGTATTTATTCTTTCTGATTACATAAGCAATCCACCCAGCAAAGCTGACACACGTACGATAAAGATTTCACCCAGTAAGTTTGGCACACTGTAGATAAGAAGGGAGAAAGCAGAAGTAACTAAAAATGTTTCCTTTTGGGTGTTTCCCTAAAGACATCGTATGTTCCCGGGTGGGTTAAGGCATTGGGTGTTTTCCTTGCTGTCCTTTCATGACCCTGCATCCATGACTGCAAATGCCCAAAGACAGCAGGGCCATCTGCACATAATCACAATTGATACTTCCTGTGCTGTTTCCTAATTCCGGGTCAACAATAACATACTTGATGCTGAGTTTGCCTGCCCTATGCTAAATGCACGAACAATCTAGCTTTAATTCTTTGCTGAAAATTACCATTAAATGTTCATTGTGATTGCGCAGAGAGAAAAACTTCATTTCAATAGTTAATGAAGTGTATTTTTTGCTATTAGTTATTCTTGGCTTGTTTTTAAATTAATTGTCCTATGATCTTTGTTGGGCTTCAGTAGCCATTAAATCACGCTTAAACTGTTGCCTTCACTATTTCCCAAGGAAGATTTTAAAATGTTTACATTTTTTACAAATCATCACCCTCTTGACCACATTTTCTCTAAGTTGTCTAAATGACAGCATAGCATATAATACCACCATGTTTTTGTAGTTATAGGATAAAAAAAATGAAACAAAGGCTTATTTCAACTAATCGCTGTGGATAGAAGATAAATTTGTTTCATTCTAAATTCTGTTTGATCAAAACACCACCAACTATTACCCTAAAATGATTTCCCATATTTTCTGCATGTAGCTAATACATAATTACTTTATTAAGGATTTGGTTAAGATTTCCAAGTGAAGGTATTGCATTAGTAATTCTTCTAAAGATTTTGTTTTTTTAAGGATCAGTATTATATACAGACAAGTAATTCTTGCTTAAATTCAGTTTCTTTGTATATCTTTCACAGAGAAAAAAATGAAGAAACAGAATTTGACTTTGATACAGATAAGTATGATATTAGAATTCCTGCAGATTTGGATGAAGTAACAGGAAAAAGAGGCTATAAAAAACAAGAGAGACAAGATCACATCGTTCCTGAAAGTGATTATTCATTACGGGTACATATATAATTCATTTTTTAAACTATACCTTGCAGTGCAATATTCCACAATATATGTGTTAGTTCTTGGTAATTGGCTGTATAAAATATTTGGCTTTCAGGTAGATTCCAGCTGTCATACTTTTAACAGAAGGGTTCTTTCAATAAGGAAATAAGTAATAATAATAAAAACTTTGTATAGTGTCTAATCTTTTTTTATCCAAAGTAAAATAACTACAATTATTCTGTTTCATAATTGTTGGTAATAAAATTTCTAAAGTTATTTAAAATGCAATATGAACAGGTAAAAAATAAAAATTTACGTAAGTAATGTAATAATACTTATAGTCATGGGGGCACAGTAGTTTTAATGCAGTATTGCAGGCTGGTTCTACTGACTGCCAGGGGTTCGATGCTCACCGGCTCAAGGTTGACTCAGCCTTCCATCCTTCTGAGGTTGGTAAAATGAAGACCCAGATTGTTTTGGGCAATATGCGGACTTTGTAAACCGCTTAGAGAGGACTGTTAAGCACTGTGGAGCGGTATATATGATTAAGTGCTATTGCTAAAGTAAGCCATCATTATTCCAAGATGGCTTTCCTCTGCTGCTGGTGATTTGAAGAAATGACAACTTGATTTCTGTGCCTTTCATATTATCAGGATAACTACCTCATTTTTATTCAGTAATTTTTTTATTCACTTATGTGGATGAGCATTTACCATATATGCCAGCGTATAAGGCGACTTCCGCACGCATTAAAATCGGCGCCAAAGACGGGGGTCGTCTTATACGCCAAGTTGTCTTATACGCCGGAAATACTGGTAGTTTCCGGCGTATAAGACGACGTTCTAGGAATGCGACTCGGCGCCAAAGATGGGGGTCGTCTTATACGCCGGGTCGCCTTGTACGCCGGCATATACGGTAATTATTGTCTGTCTCTATTCTTACATTCTTACTTACATTTTTATAACTATATTTTAGATTATAGTGGATAACAAGTATAGTCCTGTTACATTTTATGGCTGAATGGATTTAAAGTTGTCTGACAATTGTATATGTAAATTCATTAATTTGCTCCTAGAGTCATGAGGCACACATAACTTTGTGTTTAATCATTTGCGTAACATAGTTATCTGATTTATAAAAATAGAAAAATCTAGACAGAATTTCAGTTACATATTTTGTGAGCTTTATAATTATGAATGGGTTATTTAAATTGCTCTGACTTCCTTTAAGATTTCAGTACTGAAGGAAGATATAACTATATATTTTCATTTGCTTTTCAGGCTTATTGCAGTATTTTATATTTAAAGCCAAGGATGCAGATTATTATCAGAGGACAAAAAGTACAAACACAGTTAGTTTCCAAAAGTCTTGCCCATATAGAACGCGATGTTTACAAGCCAAAATTTTTGGCTGTATCCTTTATGATTGTGGGCTATTGCATGTTGAGTACGAAAAGATAACCTAGAGCAAAATCTCAGTCAGTCTCTCTTCCTACCCACTCTCGGACTATATGATAATTATTTTTGGAATGAAATTTTGTCAGAAATGTTCTCCTTTGTATGATTATATTGATTTTGTTCGAGAATATATTGAAAAATCCATAGTATTCTGGATTGTTCATGTGGAAATTTTAATCTCTAGAATACATAGTGTTAGTGCATGATCATGTTATTCTTCAAGAATTGGTATAATATGTAGCCCAATAATTTAAATTCCAGCAATCTTTGAATATGCACAAATATTTTGATTAGACAAGATCTTTGGAAGTTCTGGACATAAGAAAGCAATCTCCAAATAAGGAATTGAGTAAATCGAGTTTGATAATGAAATTAATAGTATAATTATAGTGATCAGAGAAAGGCAAATTGCTAAATAGCTGGAGCTTCTCAAATCATTGTTATTCTTTTCTGAGCAACTAATTAAGGTGAATTGAATAGTGTTATAATGAAGAGGCTATATAACTGGATCAAAATTTGTATTCAAATTGGACATATACCACAAGATTCAATCCTAGGCCAACTGCAATAATTGGACTTGGATCAAGAGTTAGTCATAATTGATAACTAGGGGGATAAATAAAATTCAAAATTAAATTAAAAATCACCTTAACAACTCAGAAACTAGTAACCAATTGAAATGTAAAAAAGGCAAATGCAAAGTTCTTAAATTAATAAAAATAAAATATGCAGATACATGATGGTATACCTAGGTCAGGGGTAGGCAACCTTGGCTCTTTTATGACTCGTGGACTTCAACTCCCAGAGTTCCTGAGCCAGCACAGCTGGCTCAGGAATTCTGGGAGTTGAAGTCCACGAGTCATAAAAGAGCCAAGGTTGCCTACCCCTGACCTTGGTAGATAATAGATATTGTGAAAAATATCTTTGAATAGTAATAGGTTGCAATCTGAATAAGATTCTGAAAAGTAATATGATTAGGGCACCAGGCTAGAAATCAGGAGAGAGAAAGTTCTAGTCCTTCCTTAAACAAGTAAACTGAGTGGCTGATTCTCTTAGCTAAACTTATCTCCCAGGGTAATTAAATTCACTCTTACAAGGAACCGGAGTAAATGTTATGGCCAAATTAATCAGTTCTAAGGTTCTGTTCAAAAAGCAGAATTTAAGTTTATGAGTATTTATGATTAAAACAATGGCTCCAATCTCCTATACAGTAATTCATTTGGCTAAATTTTAAGGATTCTCTTATTCTGGACCCATCAGTCTCCTACATATCTAGTAAATGTAGCAAATCAGAAGTCTAAAAATAGAAATATTAGAATGTGCTATTGTATAAAATCCTTTTATTTGGAACAACTTGCCTCCAGAACTTGTGAATGCTCCAACACTGGAAGTTTTTAAGAAGAGATTGGACAACCATTTATCTGAAATGGTATAGAGTTTCCTGTCTGAGCAGAGGGTTGGACTAGAAGACGTCCAAGATCCCTTCCAACTCTGTTATTCTATATATAATTCTAATTTCAAAGTTCTTAAAGCTGTCTAGTAAAAAAAAGATTTTTTAAAATTTAAAATTCTTTTTATTAAGAGGAATGTTAAATATATTTTTAAAAAAAAGACTGCTTGCAGACTGGTGAAGTTCTAATTTTATAAGACTTTGTATACTGACTGATCATTTTTGGGTAAGAAAAGTTTAGAGTCACATGTTTTTCTTAACATGCGCAAATAAGCCCAAAACAGTACGAATTACTTTTGGATTCAACTGCCGAAATAAAGATCATTATGGGATGATGATGTACCATAGAAACAGGCTAATCAAAGCTTATGAAAGAGTTGGCTATCAGCTAAAGGTGAGACAGATTTACCGTATATAAAAAGACTTTATACGTACATTTTCAAATTGTCAATATAACAAGACATTTTAGAATAGAGTTGATGTAAAATAGTAGTAGTTTTAAAATCAGTCTTATTTTAAAGTTGTTTGAAAATTTCCTTCAATATCTTGATAGTCCCTGCTCAATGGGTAGCTGAGGCCTGGAAGGCCTTTGTACAACTTTGTCTCGATTGTGCCAGTTCCCGGATTGGGAGTCTCTGCTCAATGCCAGTCATGCCCTAGTCACTCCTTAACTATTGCAGGGCCTCTATCTCTTCATAATGCAGTAAGTCAGATATTTAGGGATGCATTTTGGTGTATAATGCAGTACCTCTACATCACAAGCTGCAAAGGTTTCCTCTCAGCTTCTGCAGTTCAAGAAGCTTATTATCTGTAATGACCTATAGATTATTTACAGGATCATCTCTATCTAAAGGTATCTGCCCATCTCAGCCAGTCTAATAGACTGAGCTCAATTGTGGGTCTTTTTGAAATAGTGCCATCTAATAGTGCCCGAAAGGTGACCCTTTTCTGTGGCAGCATCAGCCCTTTGGAAAGTTACCTGTTTGGATGCCCCTGACCCATTATAAATGTAACTATTCCCCCCAGGTACTGCAGCTGGGTTGAATAAATTCCCACAAGGAGAGGGCCTGGTCTGTTATTATTAATACTTGTTTTTGATTGCTATTTTTATCTCATAAGCTGCCAGTGTTGCATTATTTGACTTAGGTGGCCATATAAATTATTTAATTGAATTAAATAGATAGATTAATAAGCAAGCTTTTAAAAAGAGCAGGCAATATGATACTGTTCCAGATATTTTGTACTTTTACCTTCTGTCAGCATGACCAGTAGCAAAGAAGTGTGCCAGTTGTAGGAACCAGGTTGCCTGCCCTAAATGATTAGTGTTTTAAAAAATCATACCTTTTAATAAAATATTTTCACTATGTGGAAAGGTAATTTTGTTTTTCATTTATTTTTCTGTATTGCAAATTCCCCTGTCTTGTTTAAGTTTTATCCTAACCAAGGAAAATAAGACAGCTATCAGTCCAAAAATATTTGCTAATCTTAACTTATGTATACTTTTGCATGCATCTCTGTTTAAATAATTTATAGATGGTTTTAATATCATAGAAAAAACAGTCCACTTTTCAGATATTATTTTGAAAATTGGGCTAAAAGAACAAAAGAACAGAACTATGCAAGATCAACCGATGGGTTGCCATAAATAATCTTAATTAGCACATAGGATCACAAATTCTGCATCCTGGAACATAAATACCAAGGCATGAGATGTTTGTTTGAATTCCATAGATGGTGCTTAATTAATTCTGTTTTATCTACAATAATTACTTAAAATACATTAATAATTTAAATTAGGTATTTTAAAGAGACTAGATGTTCTTTGCTAATTGCAGAGTATTTCTGGAAACTGTCATTCTCCTGGAAGTTAATTTTAGATTTAGTAAATGGTTAAAAAGTGAAAAATCAAAACATTTATAGTGTCTGATATATACTTAAATATACAAATTAAATATTTTATGGTCCATCGAGAATTATATTTCATTCTTCCTTGCTATATTCTTTCCATTCCAGTCACATTCTGAAAATCTTGGTGCCATCCCAAGCTTTCTGATGTTAAACCTGATGGAGTTTACATGTGCCAGCTGAATTCTTTGTTACTACTTCACATTGTGGTGGCATCTGTTTAAGGCCCAGGATGTAGCTAGATATATGATGTTTATTGAAAATCATCTTGAGAGGCAGATTCTCTTTGTGGGATTCGTTGTCTAGTTGAAATAAACAATCACAAGCCAAAACTTTCAAGAGAAAACAATGGCAATTTATTTGTACTCCTTTGCAAAGGGGATGCTCCTTGTGCATGCACGCACACAGTGGACACACCCCAAATCTTCAATATTCATTCTTTATATTCTCCATTGCCATTACAAATTTACCTCCCACCTCTTCTTCATTGGCTTAGTAATCATGCTGTAATCATAATCATAATCGTGACAACCTATGCAAAGCTTCTAAAGTGAATACATTATCTCCGGCCCTGATTACTTCACCCACTCCCCTAATTCTATCCCCCCCCCCGCCCTTATTTACGAATTACCTTTTTATGGTTGTTACTTCCTAGGAATTGTACCTAAAGTTGCTATCATATCAGTAAATTCTGGTTTTCAGTGTAGCAGAGACCTTCCTAGATACAGTTTTCAAGCTTCAAGCTGGGCTCATGAGATTAAATATATAAAATGTATTTGCTTTACAGGCTAGCATGTCTTCTCACAGTTCTGTAAAAACAATAAGCTCTTTTTCTCCACATCTTGAATAAAATACAAACCTAGGAAGATTCTCTGAAGTGAAATATTTGCTTTGTTTTATTTAAATTTATTTTCATTACAGGCAAAGCAAGTAATTTTCTTATCACATTATATAAACAGGTCTAGATAACATGACATACACTACCAAATCACTAATAATCTAAGAATCTTTGAAGAACAAAATAGTAAGAATGCTTTTATTTATTTGTGTGTGCGTGTGTATATGTAATGTATTGTCTCCTCAACTCCACAGACTCTACTAATATAACAGAGGAAAAAAGAAAAACACAATTTTTCTAGAAAAAGAACTGACATTAGATGTTACTAATATGACCTTTATAAAATAGGACTGCTTTCATTCAATAATTTATACTTCCCTGATTTTTATTACTAGTATCCTGAAATACTGAAATACTTACATGCTCAGTTTTAAAATACATTTCCAGAATCTCAGGTATTCAGTTTTACTATCCATTATTCAAGATGCCTATTGTGTTATCCAAAATATTTACTTTATTTAACTTTTCTCCCAACAAATTGTGCTTGGTGGTCCAAGGATATTTGATTCTGTTAATTATTGCCATTCTTTCCTAAAACAGTTCTCTGGTTCCCATAGTTTATAGTTTTACAGCATGCATTTATGGTTTTATGATACCTAGGTTTTGACCTTTATGGTTTTAGGTTCCAACATTTTATTCCTTCTATAGAAAGAATTTGTAAAATCCTGTGCACAGAGAATACTTTTTCTCTTTATAAACATCTCAGATGGATTGGCCCTACTATAAATATTTGGTATACCATTCACCTGAATATATTAAGATACTAGATTTTTTAATACATTCTGCTGTTTTCCAGATCATACAAAGTAAGATCAGATTGACAAAAAATGGAGGATCAGATTTTGAACTTTGAAAGAAAAAACAGCATGCTTTACTATAAATGCAGCCTTTAATTATAGAATAAAACTTTAGCTCAGCGGTTCTCAACCTTTGTGTGACGGTGACCCCCGTCACACGGACGCGCCACGCATGCGCAGCGGCGCCCCCTGAGGGGGAAAAATGGCGGATTGCATTGTTTGGCGACCCCCGTAAAATGGTCGTTCGACCCCAAATGGGGTCGCGACCCATAGGTTGAGAACCACTGCTTTAGCTGAACAAGCCTAAATATGACATTTTAATCTGCAAGCTGTATGAGCTGCAATATACTCAACCAGTAAGTAAATTGTAAAGGAAGGAGCCATGTGTTGGGAGACAGGATGTTTTTCCTTGTTTGTAGCAGTGGGTTCCCAACCTGAAATTAGCAATATAACTATATGGCAGGACTATTCCTCTTAGGAGCATACTCAAAGCACAGTTTTGCTACATTACTGACTTCAAAGGGACTCTGTGGTTTTAGACTTAAATATTTTTTAATAAAAACAAGTAAAAAGGTGGATTCCTAATGGCATATTTCCCTATGTGGAGTTGTTATTGTTGGTTTAGACAGCTACAGTAAACTTCTTTTAATGGACTCAAAAATTAGACCTAAAAGTTAATAGAAGAATCTTCTGAAACAAACATTCCAATTAAAGTAATTTATGTTAGCTACTTTGCAGAAATACTATTCTAGGGCTATGAACCCTAAAAATTTGGTGGATTAGCGTGTTATAATAAGACAGACATTTTACGGTTCCCGGGTCACATCCAGCCCTGTGGTTGTCTCCACATTAGGTCATTTGGAAATTAGAAATCAAATGTAAATAAATGTATGCCATGCATGCAATACAACTGCATTGCTTTTATTTTGAAGGCAGCTGGTATTTTTTTTAATTTACGGATGCGTGTGCATGCATGACTATGCACCTTCACAGTCCTATTGGTTTGGCCCTCCACTACAATCTCAGTTTCTTCTGTGACCCCCTGTGAAATGTAAAAACCCCTAATTTTGATACTCACAATACGAAGACAAGTCTGGTTAACAAAACAAAGATTTATTGGAGAATAACATAAAAAGAATAAAAAGAAAAGAGAATAGAATAGAATAGAAGCGTTTGCAAACGGCCTCCTGGATCCTTCCCAATGGATTGGCTTCCAGGAGCGCACTGGCCTGGTTTCAAGATCTGCATTTTATACCCCTACAATGTATGCCACATCTAAGAAGCTCTTTCATCTTTATAATGTACTCTGAAGTTGTACTTTGTTAACCTGACCTCTTTCGTCCATCTGCTGTTATCTTATTTTCACCTAGGGTCAAAATCCCCCTCCTTGATAGTGATTTCTACTCAAAGTATAAGTTCCTGTGTCCAGAGGATTTTTAGGCAGGAAATAGTAAACATTTGGTCATAATTAATTATCTTTGCTGATTACCATTTGTAGTCATTTTTACATATATGTTTCATTACATTATATTATATTGGCATTACATTGTTACATTTGCGTTACAGTGTTACATTTGTACTAAAGAGACAGTTTTATATAATGGCATTACATTTCTACAATTATTAAAAGAATAACTTTTATTTCCTTCACCCCTGAGAAAATTAATTGCTCACTTCTGTTTAAAAAATGAGATTTTATCAGCCCATTTTTTCTCCTCTTTTAAATATGTCTTGCAGAGAGGGCTGTTTTTTCTCATGCTAGCTAAACCAATTTGTCTGCTCCCTGCCATGATGTAAAATGTTCACGTAGTATAAATATCCTTGTTTTGGTTACTTTTAAAAACTTGAGAATATTAATAGTTTCTCCCAGTTTCTCTATCATTTTAATCATACCTTGCTGCACTATTTTCTGTTTAACCTTTGAAGTGAAAAACTGGAAAATTATTTTTAAAAATATTTTCAACAGCTTTATTTAAAATAAAGAACTCTTAGGTGTATTTTGTGTTATACAGTCAGGTCCAGAAATATTGGGACATCGACACAATTTGAACATCTTTGGCTCTATACACCACCACAATGGAGTTGGAATGAAACACAATGTGCTTTAACTGCAGACTGTCAGCTTTAATTTGAGGGTATGTACATCCAACTCAGGTGAACGGGGTAGGACTTACAGCAGTTTGCATATGTGCCTCCCACTTGTTAAGGGACCAAAGGTAATGGGACAGAATAATAATCATAAATCAAACTTTCCCTTCTTAATACTTGGTTGCAAATCCTTTGCAGTCAATCACAGCCTGAAGCCTGGAACGCATAGACATCACCAGACGCTGGGTTTCATTCCTGGTGATGCTCTGCCAGGCCTCTACTGCAACTGTCTTCAGTTCCTGCTTGTCCTTGGGGCATTTTCCCTTCAGTTTTGTCTTCAGCAAGTGAAATGCATGCTCAATGGGATTCAGGTCAGGCGATTGACTTGGCCATTGCATAACATTCCACTTCTGTCCCTTCACAAACTCTTTGGTTGCTTTTGCAGTATGCTTTGGGTCATTGTCCATCTGCACTGTGAAGCGCCGTCCAATGAGTTCTGCAGCATTTGGTTGAATGTGAGCAGATAATATTGCCCGAAACACTTCAGAATTCATCCTGCTGCTTTTGTCAGCAGTCACATCATCAATAAATACAAGAGAACCAGTTCCATTGGCAGCCATACATGCCCACGCCATGACACTACCACCACCATGCTTCACTGATGAGGTGGTATGCTTAGGATCATGAGCAGTTCCTTTCCTTCTCCATATTCTTCTCTTCCCATCACTCTGGTACAAGTTGATCTTGGTCTCATCTGTCCATAGGATCTTGTTCCAGAACTGCAAAGCCTTTGTTAGATGTTGTTTGGCAAACTCTAATTTGGTCTTCCTGTTTTTGAGGCTCATCAATGGTTTACATCTTGTGGTGAACCCTCTGTATTCACTTTGGTGAAATCTTCTCTTGATTGTTGACTTTGACACACATACACCTACCTCCTGGAGAGTGTTCTTGATCTGGCCAACTGTTGTGAAGGGTGTTTTCTTCACCAGGGAAAGAATTCTTCGGTCATCCACCACAGTTGTTTTCCGTGGTCTCCTGGGTCTTTTGGTGTTGCTGTGCTCACCGGTGCGTTCCTTCTTTTTGAGAATGTTCCAAACAGTTGTTTTGGCCACGACTAATGTTCTTGCTATCTCTCTGATGGGTTTGTTTTGTTTTTTTCAGCCTAATAATGGCTTGCTTCACTGATAATGACAGCTCTTTGGATTTCATCTTGAGAGTTGACAGCAACAAATTCCAAATGCAAATAGCACATTTGAAATGAACTGTGGGCCTTTTATCTGCACATTGTAATTGGGGTAATGAGGGAATATCACACATCTGGCCATGGAATAGCTGAGAAGCCAATTGTCCCATTACCTTTGGTCACTTAACAAGCGGGAGGCACATATGGAAACTGCTGTAAGTCCTACCCCGTTCACCTGAGTTGGATGTACATACCCTCAAATTAAAGCTGACAGTCTGCAGTTAAAGCACATTGTGTTTGTTTCATTCCAACTCCATTGTGGTGTTGTATAGAGCCAAAGATGTTCGAATTGTGTCGATGTCCCAATATTTCTGGACCTGACTGTATAAATATTTGTGTAGCACACATCTTGATTAAGAGCGTGAATGTTCAGCTACTGTATAATGGTTTGAATGTTCAGCTATAATGGTTTTCAGATATTAACACAGATAAACATGTGCATTTTTCTTTTTTTTTCTTCCACAGGCAAACAATATGGGTGTAGGTGTAATTGGTATTATTGAATGCAACTTTCTGAAACCAACCCATAATAAACAGGACTTTGATTATACTAATGAATATAGGTAAATGCTTATTTTACCAATATAAAAGAGTTTTTGTACATATTAAATATTCTTATTTATAACACTAGATATTATACCAAGCTGGATGAATTGAACTTCATGCTAGATGGATCCTAGCTTCTCTGTGTTGAGTGAAAGACCAAGGGTGTAGCTATTTAACTTTCCATCGAAACAGAAGACATCATGCAAATGGAAGCCTTGCTTTATCAGGATTTTTGATACTTAACCAGATAAAAGCCCTATTCCACTCTGAAATGATTTAGTGTCTTTCTTGTGCGTATGGTAGTATTAAAAGGGAGATCAGCATATTGCATGTTTTATCTTATTCTCGTGTAATTGCATATTTCCATAAATGAGTGCACATATTGTAGGTGTTTCAGGGAAGTTATTGAGGCGGGGAGCTTTAGATCTTTAAGTAGATCCAGTTCTCAATAGCTAATTTGGCATAATGGTTAAAGGCACTGATAAGAAACCAGGAGACTGTGAGTTCTAGCTTTGCCTTAGGCATGAAGCCAACAGGCCAGTCATTCTCTGTCAGCAATAAAAAATGATAAACCACTTCCAGAAATGTTGCCAAGAAAACTACATAGATGTGTCCAAGCAATCACCAGGAGTCAAAACTGACTGAAAGGCACAAGAAAAAAATATTACCAGCAACTTATGGTAAAGCAATGGTGCCCAAGGAATAAGAAAAAATGCCTCCTTTTCTCTGGGAAGGAATATGCCATCAAAGATATTCACTCATTGGACATTTGAGTCCAAATCATTGCTTTCTTATTCTCTGTTTCATTTATGTGATAATTATATTTGCTGTTAAATTGTATTAGGAACTTCAAAATAGTCTTTCTCGTTTATTAGGCGTACAATACATGCCCTTGGTGAAAAACTTAATGATTATTGGAATGAGATGCAAGCGAAGAAAACAGAATATCCTCTGGAAGTATTAGTTGACGATACACAGTAGGTTTTTATAAGCATAAATCTTTCCATAATACTTCTGGGCTTGAATAATTATAAACTATAGTTGTACTTTTCTAGGTTTTATATAGCTCATAATTTGTTACAGGAAACGGCCTGATCAGACCTGGGTTCAATGTGATACTTGCTTAAAATGGAGGAAGCTTCCAGATGGAATTAATCACTTGCCAGAGAAATGGTACTGTTCATATAACCCTGACCCTCAGTTCAGGTAAAGTAGGTAGAAATGAAATAACATTTTAGGTGTAATGTTAGCTACATAAAAATTAACAATATCTTATTACTTTTTAAATTAGAAATTGTAATGTGCCTGAAGAGCCTGAAGATGATGATTTAATACCGTATGAGAAAACACATAAAAAAAAGTGAGTATTCAATAACAAGAAATTTGAAATATACTTACATGTATCTTAAAAGCACTTCTTAGAATGTGAAAAGACAAGGTCAGCATAAATTATATTCATTCTACACAGTTTAAAATTGGTTTATTTTATTTGCCCCTCTGTAATAGATGTAGAATTCAGGCAAATTATGGTAGGGTTTAACTATGTTTCAATGAAAGAGATCAAGACGATTATAATTTTTATTGAAGATTTTAATTATAGTAATAAAAAACAAATACAAATTAAACTCAGAGAAAGGAAGATAAAAAGAAAGTAAAAGGTACCAAGAAACAAAAAGAAAAAAGAGAGGAAAAAAATATAGTTATCAACTGAAGACCACAATTGGACTTGAGATGATGCCAGGGATGCTGCAACAGTTGTCAATATATGCCAGTATTGACTTTTTTCAGAGCCATCCTAATTTTGAACAGTCATACATTAAATGTATGATCATAAATCAAGGGCTACTTATAATAAAGAAGTAGCTTCCAATCTTTAACGTAAGTATGATACTACATAAATAGGTTTGGTAGCTTTTTACCTCCTATAACTTCCCATAACCCATCCCATAAGACATCAACACTTTGCAGGTGTTAGCAAAAACTCTATAAAGGGTTGCCAGAATTTTATAAAACACGTCCTGTTTTAACCTTCATCAAATAAACTAACTTTACATTCCTTCTTTTTTACTTCTGCAAATCTTAATCTTCAATTCATTCAAAACTGTCATAGAATTTAATCTTTTTTTCAATTCTTTGTCCCATCACATAGGCTTTTACAAGTCTCATTTGTAAATCCAATGTAAAGATATTACCCAGGTTGTTCCCTTAGTTTATCATTTATATTTCCTCTGTAGTTTTTAAAACTTCATCCACTTTTTAATAAAGTGTCCTTATTTGAGTAATTCTCTTGGCCCGTCACTTTTATTTTCATTTCAAATGCCTTCTCTGTCAAGTAACCAACACTTTTTTAAAAAAAAATAAATCAGTATTTATAATTTAATATTTTTGCATCAAGCAAGATTTGTTTCACATCTATTGAAGTAAAGGTCAAAAGACTCCTTTCCCTAAAAATTTAATGTCTGTAAGGAAATCTTATTTTAGCTTTGTAAACATTTTGCAATCAGCTGCTAGACTATAAGCCATAATGAAAATAGCTTGGTCAGTAAAATGCTCAGAAATGCTTCCTCTGATGAAACCCCCAAATGTAGTTATGGGATAAGACAGCTTCATAGAAAAAGAGAGCTTGGGGGTAGCAAACTTGGGGGTAGCTGAGAATTGCGTAAAATGATCATTGTGCTACAATATATATATACAATTTGCTAAATATAGTAATAAAAGTAATTAGTCTTTTGGGTGATCTAAGGGGATGGCTTATGGGGCTTATGAGCAAATAAATTTATAAAAATATATTATTTAAGGTGTGGCCTTTATACAGGCCTAGTAGAAGTAGTCCCCGTGTCCTTCTGTGCAGAGTAAAGTCTGTTGTAATCTCCATCTTGATGTATTTTCATTGGGCACTGCACACCAGACAAGACCAGTTTTCTGTGATAACACTATCATTCCTTCATTAATATCCTTTAGACATAGAGAATTTTAATTTCTCTATTGGTAAAAAAATAAATCAGAAGCTCTCACAGTTGACTGCATTTAGCTGACTCAAAATAACTTCTTTATATTCATATAAAAATATTTACAATACCATACATTCTTCTTTACAGCAACATAGCTCAATTGAAGACCTCTTACAGAGATACAGAGACAAACCTGAGACTGGAAATCCAGCTCCTAACTCAATACTCTTTTTGCACAGACTCAGTAGCACTTTCTTCACATTGGCTGACTGAGTTACCACATGACTCTTCCTGCTCATGAATATTCCAACACTCCTCCCTTCATGACAGGAAGAGACATCAGACCTATTGACTTAACACATTCTCCATAGTGAACACTACCCAATGGTTTAGTCATCATGTCTGCCAAATTATCCTCAGAAGAACAATGATGTAAACTAATCAATTTTCCTTTTACAGCTTCCCTGACATTACAATACTTAATGTCTACATGTTTACTTCTGTTCTTCACCCTGTCACCAGTTGCCATTTTTATACAGGCAGCATTGTCTTCAAATACCTTTACAGATTCTTTTACATTAATATTTAAATCTTGCAACAACTGTACATCATCATTTGGCAATGATGTACATCATTTTTCTTATAAACCCACTTACAACCCACAGCTTTGGTTCCCTATGGCAAAGTCACTGATTTAAACATGGTCTCCCATGGATTTCATCTCTTTATCCATGGCCTCCTTCCATCTTTCTTGTTCAGCTTTTGGTAATGCCAACATTTCTTTATAACTTCATACTACACATTGCAAACCTTTACCTTGCTGGCAGAATACCTGTCAGGCGGAATTCCTTTATTACATCGCTCTGACCTACGTGGTATTAACTGCTCCTGTGTCTCAAGTCTATCTGGCTTCATGTCTTGTTCAGCCTCTCCTCCCTGAACACTGACATCTTCAATAATCATTTTTTATCATTAAATGAGTTATTGTCATTAAATAGATCACCGTCATTAAGTGACACATACCCAGAATTTGCATTAATTCTGTCCCAATTTTGTTCTGCGAAATTAGCAGACCTTGAAATTACAATTCTTTTACTTCCATCGCTAAAGCAATATCCTTTTGATCCTGGCTCATAGCCCACAAACCTGAGCTTTCTTGCCTTTTGCTGTCCCTTTCTTCTGATTGCTTTTGGAATATGTACCCATGCAGTACTTCCAAAAATTCTCAAATGTGCCAGTGATGGCTTTCTCCCATATAGAATGGCATATAGAGTATTATTAATGGAGGAACTCCACAGCCTGTTAACTATATAATTTGCAGTCAATATGGCTTTTCCCCAATATGACCTGCTCATACCAGAATCCTCTAATAATGAATCTTTCATTGTTTGCAAAACACCATTCCTTCTTTCAGCTACACCTTTCTCTGCTACTGTGTAAGGATTTGTACGTCTGTGTCTTATCCCCAACTGCCCCAACCATTGTTGGAATTTAGTTGACATAAATTCAGTACCTCTGTCAGTTTGCAACTGACACACTTGTTGTCTGTACCTTCTCTCTACAAAACTTACCCACTGTTTGAATTGTTGTAGCACCTCTGTCTTTGTTCTAAGCAAGTAGCAAAAACTATATCTGCTATAATCAACAATTACCAGTGCATATTTTGCTCCTCCCAAACTGGCTTGCATAGGTCCCACCAGATCTGCATGGACCAGCTCTAGAACTCTTTTTGTTTGTCTTGTGCTACATTTACTAACTGGGAATGCCTTTGACTTTGATGCTTTGCATACTGCAGTCCAAATATGTTTTGCATCCCTTCAAATTTAGCCCTTCTGCAAAATCTTGCATTTGCTGCAAAACTTTAAAGCTTGCATGGCCAAGTCTTCTACGTAGAAGATGAACACATGAATCATGCTCTGCAACATTCTTAAATATATGGGAACATTGAACCTTTTGTCCCTGCAATACATATAGATTATCTTCCTTTATGCCTTCTGCACAAATATTCCCATTCCTTTTGATGAGACACTTCCCATTTACAAAAATGATCTCAAAACCTTGTTTGTCTAAATTAGACACACTTAACAAATTATGTTCCATCTCAGGTACACAAAGCACATTGGTAAACTTTGATTCCAAATACGGAATTTTTACATCGCCTTTTCCGATGACTTTTGCTTTCTGGCCATTTGCCAAAGCCACAGCTTCTTGTGCTACTTGAACAAACCTGCAAAATAATTCAGAGTCATTAACAATTGTTTGACTTGCCCCACTATCTATTAGCCATTTATCTCTGTTGTTGCTATAGCAAACTTTTGCAACACCAAACTGTTCCTTTTCCAAATCAATCCTTTTTGGTTGCACAAATATCCTTTGCTGCAAATTGTTCCTTTGCAAACAGTTCCTTTTCAGATGTGTCTTTTCACAAATGTAGCAATTCTTTTCTTGCTGAGCTCTCTGCTTGCAAAATGTTTCTCCTCCGGAGACTTGCAGTCTGGACCCCCTCCTCAGGAATTTCACCTCCTGTGGCGCTTTTCTTGTTCATTAAGCAAACATGCCTTTAAAGCCTCAAAATTTAAGTCTTGTCTTCTTTACACTCAAATATGGCAGAAACTTGTCTTTCCAGGTTTTATCTAAACTGTTCAACACCAATAAAACCTTCTGGGACTCAGGGAATTTAATTCCACGTTGTTCTAAGTCCAAAAATAAACTTTGCATTTTATTTAAATGCTGTTCCACAGATTCACCTGGTTGCAAACAGGCCCTGTAAAGTTTTCTTGACAATTGCACTATATTGCATGCAGAAACATTCACGTGCACAGCTCTCAACTTCAACCAAATCTCCTTTGCAGTCTTTAAATTTGCAACATTTAGAAATTGTTCATCATCTAAATTCAAGATGAGATAAGCCATTACTCGATCATGACTTTTCTGATCAACTGCTGCAAACACTTGTGGTAGATTTTCAACAATATACCACAGCTCTTTTGCTTTGAGTAAACATTCCATTTTTGCAGCCCATACAATGTAATTCTTCTGGCCTAAACGAGGCACACAGCTTTCCTTAAATTCCATTGCAGCCATTCTGCTAATTCTGCCCTGTTCTTATACTTTCTAAACACAGGCAATTTCTTCCAGCTTTAAATTACAATGCAGTCCTTAGTAAGCTCTGGGCCCATAACCTGTTAGAGAATTTTAATTTCTCTATTGGTGAAAAAATAAATCAGACGCTCTCACAGTTGACTGCATTTAGCTGATTCAAAATAACTTCTTTATATTCATATAAAATATTTACAATACCATACATTCTTCTTTACAGCAACATAGCTCAATTGAAGACTTCTCACAGAGATACAAAGAGAAACCTGAGACTGGAAATCCAGCTCCTAACTCAATACTCTTTTTGCACAGACACTTTCTTCACACTGGCTGACTGAGTTACCACATGACTCTTCCTGCTCATGAATATTCCAACATAGTCCATCCATAGAAACAGACAGTGTTGAAGATATTTGTTTGTTTGTTTATTTGTAGGCACCCCTCTCTGGGTGGCATGTACTATAAAACATAAAAACAAATTTAAAACAATTAAAACAATACAAAATAAATATATGTGTTTGCTACATAGCACTATTGCCATAGATGCTAAAACAGCCAAGAGGTGGGGCTCCAGGCCCAGACACACAACCAAATCTTCCTGTGATTACAAAAGGTCAACAGGATGGGGGTCATTCTGATCTCTAAAGGGAGAATATTTGAGAGAGAAGGGGCTACAGCAAGGAAGGCATGTCTCCTGGTCCCTGTCAGCCAACATTCCTTGGCTCACAGGACCTATAATATGCCCAACCTGCTAAATGGATAGAAATTATTGGAAGAAGACAGTCCCTTAGGTAATGCGGCCTCAAGCCATGAAGTATTTTAAAGGTGATAACCTGTATTTTGAATTACTAGAACACTAGTAGTACAGCTCACATAATAGTGGTATCTACATCAATTATCCAACACTCTTCACTACCTGTGCAGCCTTGCCATTTGAAGTTTCTAAATGCTCTTCAGGGGCAGCCCTGTATAGAGGATGTTACAGTAATTCAAATAAGAGATCATGACTGTCTTGTCAGCAAAGCCTTCCAATCCAGGAGTGGATGCAATTGGTGCCCATCCCTAAGGTGTTGTTCAGAAAAGAGGTGGAATCCCTGACAAAATGGCCCTAAGGGGCAGTTACCAATGATCAGAAGACATCTTGCCACACCACGCCCCAGATTAGCCATCTGGAATGGAGACATTTACTTGCAACAAAATAAACTCAGCAGGTGGACCAGACAATACTGCTTGTACCAGCACAAGTTAGAAAATTCTACCTTTGATGGAAAGTGCCTATCCTATGGGTTGACATTGGGTAAGTGTTCCTACCTTTAAGAAATAATGGTTTGCACTTGTGCTGAGCAACCAGGTCAAGCAGATCAACCTCTCAAAATAGAACACAGTTTCCTGCATCATAATAAATATTAAAAATCAAATCTGAATGTATGTAATAATACTTCTTTGTATCAAACAGAGACAGAGAGAAATTAAAGAAAAGACTGGAATACAGCCAACAGGTAGGTAATTGAACATATTAAAATGCATGTATGTTTACTTTTATTTTAAACAGTTCCATCAGTGAGTATGTACATTTCAAAAAGGCTGAAATTTTTTCCTGAAGAAAAAATAAAGGAATTAGAATCAGGGAAGGAATGAGGGGATGCATGAGAGCTTTAGTGCAGGAAAGGTGCGAGAGAAGAGGGGTGGGGAAGTTGCGTGGGTGCATAACTGGCCAATATGATACAAGCACAAAGGGACTAAAGGAGGCCACGTGGATGGGGAAACCTCAGCAACTTGTGATCTTCCCTGCAAGCTTCTCCATTGATTTTCTGGGGAAGTCACAAGGAGAGTTGCAAATGGCAACAGTGTGATTGAAGGCATAGCAACCAGTCATATGACCTGGTTACCAAGTGCTCAGATCATGATCAGGTGACCAGGAGGTGCTGGGATGGTCTGAACTGTGAGCACTGATTACAACCATCATTTCTTCAGTGCTGTCATGACTTCAAACGTTCACTGAACAAATGATCATAGGTCATAGACCAGTGATGGCAAACCTTTTACAGACTGAGTGCCCAAAAACTGACCCCGCCCCAACTCCTACCCCGCCTGCCCGCAGAGCCACTCACCGCCTCCAGGGGCTGCCGCAGATCGCCCAGGTGTCCCAGCAGCGCCATAGCCACGCCCTCTGTCTGCGCCACACAGCATCAAGTGTCTGCGATGGGGCGTGAGGGTAGAGTCTTGTCTATGCTGCCTGGCTGCCATGTCCTTGGCTGCGCTGCTCCGTGTGAGCCATGCTCGGGGGCGACTCCTTCAGAGGCCTGCTGGTGAGGAGGGGGTCGCAGGGGGAGGCAAGGCTGAGGCAACGGCACATGTGCCCACAGAGAGGGCTCCAAGTGCCACCTCTGGCACCTGTGCCATAGGTTCGCCACCACTGACATAGACTATATTTATATGTATAAATATATTCGGTGAACATTTTATGTTCTATTTGACATCTAATTCAAACAATTGTGAGGTAAAAAAATAAAGTAATTATCCTGGTATTATCTGTTCTAGTTATATATCACCATTTTAAAGAGAAATATCTTGAAGAAAAGTGATTCCTGTCTAATTGTTATGAAATTATGCATTTTCCACAGATATATAATGAAATGTATTTGCAAACATCATCCGTCTTGTCGAATGCATCCCCAGCAATGGATGAAAGTATTTCAAGATTGCATGTAGAAACTTCAAGTACACCTCTAAACAGGACTTTAAATATATCAGATACATCAGTATCTTCTCCACATTCAGATTCTGAAAATAGGTCAGTACATTTATTTTTTAATGCAACTTTTATACCATTTCAATCATTTGCTGGTTCTACATAATAATATAACTGTCTATCAATACATCCCCATATATATATTTATTTCCTAATGTAACTTGATATAACATTGATGGCACCCTATCTCTATCAAAATAGTACCGTATTTTCTGGCGTATAAGACGACTGGGCGTATAAGACGACCCCCAACTTTTCCAGTTAAAATATAGAGTTTGGGCTATACTCACCGTATAAGACTACCCCTCTTCCAAATAAAAATTAAAAAACATCAGATTTGATTTCAATATGGTAATTTTAATTCAAATGCTTATGACATGCAGGTACTTAGCAGAAAAACTGTCATTTATAAACATAAGGCTGTCATCAAACATATAAACATAAAACAGTGCAAGTGGATTAAACTTTTCCTAATTCACTCTAAAGCTGAAAGGAAGGATAAGACAATAAAACCATGGGAGCTGCCATGCTGTTTGTTTTCTAAGCTGTCAACCAAACTGAACTGATGATGATAGGAGCACACACACACATGCCTCCTTTCCCTCTTCCCTCCAATCCTTCCCAGCTCAGAAAGCAGCGAGGAGAAGCGTGCTTGTGCACACACACACACACACTCGCCTCCTTTCCCTCTTCCCTCTCCCTCCAATCCTTCCCCCCCACCCTGATTTCCAGCTCAGAAAGTGCAAAGCAGCAAGGAGAAGTGTGTGTGTGTGTGTGTGCGCGTGCACACCAGACTGCCAGAGACACTTAGGGGCAGGGAGCACAATGAGAGACAGCAAGGGAAAGAGGAACTTGCCTTACTCTGTTTCCTGGAATGCCATGGAGAGAATGGCACGTCAAGCGGGGGGGGGGGTGACGCCTCTGCTAATTGCTTTTATTCACCACAGGCTGGATGCTGGTTTGCCGGGTGGGGGGGGTGGGAACAGCAAGTGGGAGCCTATGTAAAGCACTGGGAGCAACTCACTCCCAGTGCTAACTTTGTTGCTGTATGGATTAAAGGCCATTCGCTTGTCATTCGTTCCTGTTTGTCGGCTCTTTTCTGGGCACCGAAGAGGACGCGCTGACAGATATTTCAGTAGTTGCTTGTTGTAATTTTTAACTTATTTAAACCTTGCTGATTTCTGTACAAAATGATTCACCTGCTGAAGCATGCATATCTGCATTGGCTATTCATGGCACATTAATGAAAATTAAGGAGTGAGATAAGGAAAAAGTAATTTTTGTGCAGTACTGTAAAAATGGCTATTGATTTCCAGTAAGCACACACGCACGCACGCACGCCTCCTTTCTCCCTCCAATCCTCCCTTCCCACCCCGATTTCCAACTCGGAAAATGCAAAGCGTGTGTGTGTGTGTGTGTGTGTGTGCGCGCGCGCGCGTGGGCGTGGCCTCCTTTCCCTCTTCCTCCAGTCCTTCCCAGCTCAGAAAGCAGCGAGGAGAAGCGCGCGCACACGCGCACACACACACACACACACACACACACACCCTCCTTTCCCTCCTCCCTCTCCCTCCAATCCTTCCCTCCCACCCTGATCTCCAGCTCAGAAAGTGCGAAGCAGCGAGGAGACAGATTGAGACCCCCAGGCATTTATCAGCCTGTGACTTCAAGTTAGCAAAAAGCAGCTGCAAACCACACGCCTGCTAGAGGTGAGCCGCGGGGACGGATTGCTGAAACAAACAGCTTAGAGTTTAATTGCTCTTCCCACTGCCACTCTACCAATCAAGGACTCTTTTTGAGTGAGGGGGGGGGAGAGAAAACTTGATGAGTAATATACCAAACCACATGTGTAAAGGAATAAAATAGAATACCCGTATTTTCCGGCGTATAAGACGACTCGGCGTATAAGACAACCCCCAACTTTTAAGAAGGTTTTTGTGTCTTAGAAAGTCGTCTTATACGCCGGAAAATACGGTAATGTAATAATTTCTGAAAGCCTATCAATATTCCACAATTCTGGAAGAGGAAAGGGAAAACCCCTGGCCCTTTAAGTGTATGATTTGAGCCAAGTTTATTGTAGTTGTGCAGGTGAGGCAGGTATGGAGATACAAGTTTCTACCCACTAATAGGGTGTCAGGAGAAAATTTATTTAGTGATCTTGTTTACATAAGCAAAAGCAGAATCCCTTAGTAACTACTCCCCTCCCCCCACTAACCTGATTTTCCCTTTTAATTATTAGTCTTAATTCTATTAATTCAGCATCTGCAGCAATTTTAGCAGCCTGCTTGCCTGTTGTTCTTGAGGATTCTCTGCTGTGTTCTTCAAGCTGTGTTAGCTTTTTAAATAAACTCTGCTTTAAGCATCAAGTCATTGTTTTAATGTCAGCCAAAGCCATTTTTAGGCAAACTGTTTCTCTGTTGAGTTTGTCTTTCAAAGACCATGAGAAAGATAGACTGTTCCAAAGTAGGAAAAGACACCAAATAAAACATCTGCTTCTTTTCCACCTAATAAGGCACACTCTGTACATATTAGATAAGTAGGTTTGTCATGGGATAGTCTTAATGATACCCAGTTGCCCAATTACATAGGGTTTTATAGATAACAATAAGCAACTTGAACTGCTAAATAAATTAGCAACCAGTGCTGCTCCCATATCAGCAGTGTAACATGACAATAGCAGGTACAAGTAGCACACAATCAGTTATATTTTTCATTAACTGAAACTTCTGGGTTTCTTCAAGGCTATCTCATATAAAGTAAATTACAGCAATCAACAGTAATTTGACAAATGACAGATATGAGTGACTACTCAGGCTACATTATCAAGCTATATTATCTAAGTTGCCACAGATCGGTTCATTTGGGGAGCACAATCCTATAAAGAGGCAAAGTTGCTACAGTTCTGGGAAAAGCAGGCTTCTGAAGGAGTAGTCACACTATTTTATTTAACTTGAGTTTAGAGACCATGTCTCTTCAGTGGGCAAACCAACATATCATTCTACTGGCAACTGGTACCTCTCCTACCCATAAGAGGCATTAACTACCAATATCCAGCTGCTGGTCCTTTCTGTGTGTAGGCCCACCCTTTACAACAGGAGTGTCAAACTGCCAGCCCGCGGGCCGGTTTCATCATACCAGAGCCGCGCCCACCCCATTGCCAGCAATGGCGAAAAAGCTCCGATATGTTGCGTGACATCGCGAGTTTGACATGTCTGCTTTACAAGAACCTTTCAATTTATTATCTCTCTTTAAATGGACTTTCTATTTAGAAAACAATACAAACAAATACAATGTTACTTTTAAAATGTTGGTATAATATACATCTCTTGCTGTTTCTGTAGGCTTAAACGAAAACGTACCAATTCTGATGTACCACTGCAAATTAAGATCACACGGGTGACTAGCCAAGCATTTGAGAACAAAAAAGATAATGATGATGACAATGATGTCATCATTTTGGAGGAGAACAGTACTCCAAAGCCTGCAACAGAAGACTGTGACATCAAAATAGTAAAAGTTGAAGGTGGTGCCAATTTAGATTATATTGGGGGTGATGGAGAAGATTCCAAAAGCAAAGATGCTTGCTCAGAAGTAGAATGTACAAAAGGAACTGCAGCCACACAAACAGAAGTAGAGTGGCTTGCAGTAAAGAAAGAAGAAGAAGAGGTCAGTGTTGAAAAGAATCAGCTATCCAGATTGGAGCCTGAATTGACCATATTAGAACCTGCTGGCATTTCTGAGTCTGCTTTGGGGGATGTGGACAGCAAAATAAATGAATTAAATTTTCAGTTGCAGTTAGCCAAAAATGAAAAAGAAAAATATGAAGAACAGTGTAAAATGTTGTTCAAAAAAGTAAAGACATTGGAGCAAAAAATTGTGGAAATGAATGATAAACAAATGAAAAAGGAAATGTGCCATCAGTCAACGGAAACAAATAGTATTCTATCAGATGAAGAACTGGAAAAAATTAAAGGAAGAAGCCCAGAGGAGATTTTGAGTCTCTATGAGCAGGCACTGAATGAGATGAAAAGGCTGAAAAAACTATATACTGCACTACAGAATTTAAAATCTGAATGCAGTAAGTGTAGAAACAGTGAAAGGAAAACTGAAGAAGACGAGATGGCTGTACAGCTGGATGATCTTTTCAGACAGCTAGACAAATGCAGTATTGAAAGAGATCAGTATAAAAATGAGGTATGTTTACAAATACTTATGTAATAAACCAAGTTGATTGTAGCTATTTTTTTCTCAATTTTTGCAGTTATTGTAATACTGCAATTTTTATTTTGTTTATGTTTTAAAAACCAATAAAATTTATAAATAAAAAAATATATTTATGTGGTAGGATTGATGCATTGCAACTTAATTTATTCTCAAGCTGCATTTGTCAGGATTTATCCTGCACCTTGTGTATAACACTTTTATTTTTCTCAAAATCCCATTAGTATTAATAAATACATAATTAGTTAGTAGGACTTCAGTCTAAATAAAAGTGCATTATTTCTACTTCAGTGGGTTCTGTCAAATTTCATCTGATGGAAACAGAAAGCTAGGTAAGTAAAGAGAAGGCCCATTTTGATATAAATATGGTATTGGTCATTTAATCTAACAAACTAATGCAAGACATCAACTTTGTGGTTCTTATTTCCTAAATAGAGTAGAGTAGTCAACAATACATAAAAATGAAGTCTTTGATTCAGTCTTGTTTCCTAGTGACTTTGTGGACAAATTGCCTATCTTGAAACCCTAGTATTTTCTCTAAGTACTATTCATCAGGTCTAGTTTTACTTAATTTTTTTGACATTAGGTAAGATTGGCTAGTTGCTACTGTGTTTTCCCAAAAGTAAGGCCTACACCTACAATAAGCCCCAGCTTGATTTTTAGGGGTGGGCCTAATATAAGCCTTATCCCAAAAATAAGCCCTAATTTTGGGGCGAGGCACACACCTAAAAATCAAGCTAGGGTGTGGGTGTGGGTGTGGAGCCCCCCCCCCCCCCGCATTTACCTTGCAGCCAGGCCTCTCCTTGCCGGCTCCAGGCCTGCATTTCTCAGTCAGGGCTTTCCGGAAGGCCTGTGCAGCCAAGAACCGAGCTATGGATTCAATCTATGGCTCAGTTCTGCAAGACCTCAGTAGCCAAGCACCAAGTTATGGATTGAATCTATAGCTCGGTACTTGACTGCTTAGGTGTGGGAAGGCCTGACTGCAAAATGCAGGCCCGAATGCAACTTTGTCTCCTGAAGAAGTGGACCACCTGGGTGGGGCTCTTGGTATCTGAGGTGAGGTAAGGCCTATCCTGAAAATAAGATCTGGTGCCTCTTTTGGAGGCAAAAAAAACAAAACCCGGTCTTATTTTTGGGGAAACGTGATAACACTTACATTACTTTAAACGCTCACAGCCCAAAAGCTAGCCTTCACATTGAGGATTCAGCGATTTGACAAAAATTTGTACAGCCCTGTTTTCTGAAGTCAAATAACAACAGAGGAATTAAGTGTTGAATTCATATATAAAATTGGTTTTTTTTTTAGTAAACATATGAATTATAAGTCTTCAATTGGATTTATTCCCAGTGTGCATAGGTTTGTGTTTATTGGAATTTGTTAAAAAACAGTTTTGTGATATTAATAAACTAAATATTACAGTTGCTTATGTTTTGAATATTAAATTAAATTAAACCACTAGTGTTATAGACTGATATGGCAAGATTAATATTTTGGCCAAAATTCAAACAGCTCCTGTGGCTTCCCTCATTTTTAAAAACAGTAAAATTTGATTCCATATTTTGATCTGCATTTGTTCAATTTCTGAATGTTGAAAGACTGGCAGCCAACAAGAAAGAAGATTGTTTCTGTCTATCCATCAATCTACCTACCTATCTTTAACTTTTGGAAGGTCATCTGAATAGTATTTAAACAAAAACAAGCTCAATATGCAGTACTGTATTATAGTCTAATATTTTTGACATATTTATGATTACAACTCTTCTTCAGCCATAGTTAAGCTATGAAATAAAGAGAATTGTTGAGAATACTTATTTTTAAAAAATCTGGAGAACATCTGGTTGTTTGCTTCCATTCTTTCTTTGGGCTTTCTTATTTCTTTTATATATTTATATACAAGAGAACTTATTTGGTCTCCTTTAATGTAAATAAGCTGTACCATAAGCTGTACCATAAAAACGTATTGAAAATTCAGTCAGTGTAGGGCAGTGATGGCGAACCTTTTAGAGACCGAGTGCTCAAACTGCAACCCAAATACCACTTATTTATCGCCGGGTGCCAGGTAGGCATGGCTGTGGTGATCATGGCAAATTGGGTGGGTGTGGCCAAGGTGGGTGTGATCACCTTGATGTTGCTCATGGGGAGGGATGCCTGTGGGGGTCAGGGAGGGTTGGGGGAGATCCAGGGGGTCTCTGGCAGGTGGGGTGATGGACAGGAGGCTCATCCTGTGGGGTGAGGCGAGGCAAGGCAGGGGTGCCATTGTCACAGGGCAAGGTGAGATGGGCCGAGGTGGCTGCTGCCTGACACCATCAGCTCTGCACAGAGAGGCCAGCGAGCGCATGGGTGCTGGGATGCATCTGGCCATGTGGGACCTCAGCTAGTTAGCAGGTGGCTGGTTGAAGAGGAACGGTTACCATCTCTGGGGCATGGCGCATGTGCCCACACAGAGAGCTCTGAGTGCCGCCTCTGGCACACATGCCATAGGTTCGCCACCACTGGTATAGGGGTTTTGTTTTGTTTTTGCATGACATCCCACTAATAATATATCCCATTCTGTTCCTAGGTATTTTGTGCATAGTGTTCAAAAATTTAAAGCCAGGGGTCTAGCGATAACACTAAACAACAACAATAATATATTAAAAACTTACTTCCCCAACTTGTGTTTAACTGTGCAGAGCATTCAGAAAGGTACTTCACAATGCATATAAGTACATACTCTTTCTGAATTGTTAAAATAGCTGCATTGTTTGCAAATTTTGCATGCAAACTTTTAGAAGCTGCCGCCATGAAACAACTTAGAAGTCATCTATGCAGTCTTAAGCATTGTGAACCTTTTGAAAAATTTGCACAACCTGAAATACACATAGTTTAAATACAGAGTTGTGAATATTTTGAATGGAAAGTTTTGACTTATCTCTTTCAGATTGAACTCCTTGAAATGGAAAAAAACCAACTGCATTTTCAGTGCGAAGAGCTAAAAACAGAAATTGGACAGTTAAAAGCTTCTGTTCCACAAACGGTTACACAAACAAATGATTCTGTGGCTAGTAATCTTGAAGAACCTGTAAATTATTCTGATGGGGAAAGGTAGATTTTTTTTATATCCATGAAAAAGCGTATTAAAATCTTCATTAATGTCTGAAAATTCTATCTACTCCAGTGGTTCCAACTTCTATCTACACATGTGGTCTGCAGACCTATGAGGTCCGTGAAGACTTGAAGAAATGTTATGATTTATATCTTAACATTTAAAGGTGAAGAAAAGGTTGAGAACCACTGATCTACTCCGTAATGATTTTCACCTAAAATTTTACCTCCTTAATCCATCCACATGTCTGCTAGGAGTGTGCAGTATATTGTGAGTTAAAGCTTTTCAAATTCAGAATATCCACCAATTGTTCTTATTTTAAACATCTGTTTTGACCAGTTTTAAAGAATATATTTTGAATTGAAAATAATATAAACAAAAAATGTTTTGCACTGTATTATGGTCAGCCAAAAGAAACACTAATAATTTACATTCTAAATTATGCTCTTAAGCATATAAGTGGTTTAAGCAGGGCACTTCTCACAATTTTTATCCTTTGTGATTGAAAATGTTAAACAAAACTCCTTGTACAAAATATTACAATTTGTCAAGATTTCTGGAAAAGCTGAAACTTTGTTTTGAAGAGCAGAGCAATTCTTAACTCATTTTAGTTCAGAACTACAATTATTCAAAGCTCTTCTCTGTTCAGTAACCACATTGTCAAGACGCATTTTAAGGTGGGGTACTTTAATATATATTTTAGAATACCTTAAAAAAATAAGGAAAAAATAAAATGCTCAGGAAATATATTAAGTGTTGAAGTTGTATGTACAATTGTATGTAAAAGCTGTAGGTAAAACTTTTTAACTAATGTACTCAATGTTGTCTTTTCTGTAGCCTGAAGTTGCGATCACTGCGAGTTAATGTGGGACTGCTACTGGCAACAATAATGCCCGATCTTGACTTGAAACAAGTGAACTACGACGTTGATGTAGTTGATGAAATCCTAGGACAAGTTGTAGAACATATGAATGAAATTAATAGTACTTAATGTTTTTTTCACTGCCTCATCATGCTTTGCTCAAATTTGTATTCTATTGTGAAGCTTCAAATCTGCAAAAAAAAAAAATATCCAAATTATTTAGGAGTTAAATATATTCTTGAAATGTTTCAGCTAGATTTTCAAAGGGTTAATAGTGCCACAAACAGAGTGAATGTCTTGAATGAAGACATTGTGGAAGGAATTGTTTCATAACCACTATTGTGGTTATGACAATAGCTGTGGCAAATAGCAACTCCTGAAAGCAAGACCTGTGAAGGAACTATATAGACACTTTGCTTTCTGGGGTTTGTGGTGACAGGAAAGAAGGACACTTGTCATTGCTAAATTGGAAATAAAACTTGGGTTAATATTTTATTTAGCATAGCTGGTGAAAATCAAAATGTGCATGTGTGGTACTATTAACAGAAAGACAGTCTTAACTCCATGTCAAGTTTTATCCTAATTTCAAAGGCTTCAAATGCCACTACAGGTGCATTGTATTACCCCTTTTGAATTTTCAGCATTTCTTATAGATATATTTAATTTTTATAACACATTCAGAAATTAATCACAGATACTATAAATGGTGTTATATACCTTTTTAAAGTTACTTTTAAAAAACACTGGCAATTTTGTCAAGTAGCATTTTCCCCAAATTACTAGTATTTTATAGTGGCCTATGAGTATTTCTGAGTTTTGATACCTGATGATGTATTATAAATACTGATTAAGAGTATTGCATAATGATTGTTATACTGTTAGATCATGTTTTGTTGAATAGGTATGAGTGTTTTATCAAAATTAGTTTTAAGGATTTATTTTTTCCACATTGTTTTTCCTAACTTTGTAAGTTATATATTGTTCATTATTCACATTATTGTTTGATAGATGAATGTACTGTAAAGTCTGAGTAAAATAAATCTTGTCTGTATGGAAAACATTATTTAAATTTATACTGTACATTTACACTTTGAAGAAAAGTAAATAACTGGAAATAAGTTTTTATTTACATGAAATAAATGAGAAATGTATATATTTTGTATTAAATGGTGAAAACATATTCTCATGTTCTGCATAACAGGAACAAATGTAAATACACAAATACATTTTTTCTAACAATAAATCACATACACATATTGACTTCTGTGTTTTTTATTCTATCAATCCAATAAAAATTTGGAAATAAACAATGTAAAAGCACTTACATTTCTATCAATAGGACAACCTGCCAAAAAGGGAATAGGTTCAAATTTTGTGTTGAGGAAGAAGCTTACAAAAGGAGGATTGAATTCATAAATGAATTGGAGAGCCGTGGAGGAAAAAAATGGATAATTTCTTCAGCCATTTCAGAACGCTGCCAACTGCTCCATTATCAAGTTACCCTCCCTGCTTTGCCAGGGCACACGAACAGCGCAAAAGTGCTAAGAATTTGGAAAAGTGTACAGTAGTCCTTGTTTAGTGACTGTCATTCCAACAAAATGTTCATTATCAACATATTTGCTAAGCAAACCACACTGCAAAGATCACTGGATGCTGCCATCTCATTCAGATAAAAGTTTTCATACGATGTCCTGTGCCTGACCTGTATCCCCTTCCCCTCCTTTTTGCCCACTCCTAGGGAAGAGAAATTGCCTAAACAAACTATCTGTGAGCTGGTGTTTCCCCAGCACAGTGCTTCCCTAAAAAATATAAAGGGCAAGTTAACAAGCTCAGCACTGGGACTTTGATTTAGAACTCTTGGAGTTCTTCAGGCAGTTGCTGCCTGAACCTGACCATACCTTAAATGAGTTTCGGAGTGAAGGCTTCTGTGATCTAAATGCAGCCTAAATTGTTTATTGCCATCCTATTTGCAAATAATATCTGAGACATTTTCTAAATAAAGACTACCTGTATTTTGCTTTCTTTCCCTACCTAGCTTGCTCTCATTACAATTAACTTAGTCATGCATAATTAGATATATACAGTACTCAGTTATAGATAAAATGTTAACACTTGGGTAAATATATTACTGTATCCAAAGTAATGTTTATGAATTGTATTTACTGAAAAAAATTAACTTGCTGTATATATACATATATAAATTAGGTGGTTAATAATGTGCCATATAAGATAATACCACTGAAAATTAAAATGTAGAACCAAATTCACACACTCGCCTGTGGTATCTACTGTAAACTGTGCTTAAATGTGTAATTGCTTGTTCTCATAATTCTGTAATGTAAACAGGATGACCTAAGCTTTCACATGTATAGGATGATCTACGTTTTCACAAATTTTCAGAAAATGTGGAACAATTGAATAAAATTGCTTGTTTGCTTTTGATGTCCAAAGTTGGAGCAATAAATTGAAGTGCATAAATTGGGTAAAACAGAAGAATTGTCAGTGTTAATATTTAAACTTTGGATATGGTTTTTAGCCAGGATGCGTTCTTAAATGCACTGGCAATACATAATCCAAAACAATTGTAACCTGCCTGAATCACAGAGGTTTTTGATAAAATCGGATATTTTTTATTTTAAAAAGTAAAACTCGAGCATCAAATCGGGTCCGAAACTATAACTTATGGTAGTGAATCTGATGCGGCAGAACACAAAGGATTATATAATTTGAATGGGTGACATGAAAAGTTTTGTCAAAATGGAAATTCTGCTGTTGGATACCGTTTCCTCTGACAGTTTGTTAAATAGTGCTTGAAGCGCTGCAGGACATTAGGCAGAGATGAGAAAAGTTTACCGTGATTGATATATATGCATTTTAAATGGTTAGGCATCAATTATGTAGTGAAGCGCACAATCCTGTAAATTCTGCTGCAATAGATTTAACTACGCTAACCTTGCAGTCAGGGGAAGCCTAATGAAGCCTAGGCGAGACCAAGCGCGGCGCGTCCCGGACGCTAGGTGGCATTTTTCGACACCCTAACTAGGAAAGCCTCCGAGCGACCTGCTCCTCCTTCCGGACGCCCAATGACTCCAACGCGCAGACGCGAGCGCGGGAACCTGAATTAGTTTCGAGGGGCAACTGGACCTCTGTGCTGATTCTTTCTGCAGGTATTACGGGGTGGGGGGTAAGAAACTGGCAGACACGAAAGCAAAAGTCCGGGTCGGGAGCACGAAAGAACGGATCTCTCGCTTGTGCGGAGAAGGGGCGGGAAAGCGGCTTGGGCACAGTAGGAGGGAAACGCTTATATGGAAACTGTCACAAAGGGTTGCGTCCCTGAATTGTGCTATGTCGGTAGGTTCGGGGGAAGTTTTCCTTTTTTCTGGACAAAAGTGGGTGCGCTGTGCTACTCGCCGAGGGTTAAGATGAGAGAGGTTTATTTTAGATTAAATAAGAGTCCCTTCCCAGTATATGATGCAAGAAAGTAGTTCTCTGGACTCAGACGGTCGCTCCTCCTCCTCATTAGTTATCAGAAAACAAGGTAATATGTTGATACACAAGTAGCACTTGGCTTCAGGATTAAAGGAAGGGTTTTAAAATAGAGAAATCAATAAGTTGAGTGAAGGGCTTGCTAATTTAGCTACGAATATAGCATCCTCAACAAAACGTGGAGCCAGATCTTGACTCCAAGAAGCGTTTATAAACAAGTGGAAGAGCATTTTATTTGTGTGGGTTTGGGATCCTTTTCTCCTGCTTCCAAGTCTAAAATTCCATGAACGAGGAGAATAATAATCAGCCTCAGTCATGAACGGAGGTGGGAAGATGGATAGGAGGATGTCTGTACAAGCTGCTGTGTCTCATCTTTCATTGTTTGTATTGTAACCATAACCCTTTTATGCCTTAGAGAAATTCAGATAATGTAAGTTAAATGCTTTGAACATTCTGAAAGAACAGAATTTAAGGTGTTATTTTTGCAAACCCAGCTTTGCTCTAGTCTTCTTGTGACTTATGTCTCCTTGAAGTTTCAGCAGTCCTACTTTTGCTTTTCTTAGTAAAAGCTGAAGGATTTATTCAATTTGAAGAGAAATCAGAGTTGCCATCTTTTGTTTTAACAATATATTCATGTGTATGCTTTAATTATATACAATTTAATTTTCATCTTATGGCTTCATTGTCATTGTTCTCCTTTTGAGGAATCTTAATCCTTAGCAAAAGAACCATAATGGAATGGTTTTATTGGGAAAAGACCAATATATGAGAAATGAGAGCATTTCTCTTACTTGTCATAAAATCCCTAGGGTTGTAACACTATCACTACATATACTGGGCTTTTTAAATCTTTGCATTTTTATTCTATAAATTTATAAGTTGTAGAACAGGAGTGTCAAACTCAATTTCATTGAGGGCTGCATCAGCTTTGCGGTTGTCCTCAGGGCGGCGGGTAGGTGTAGCCAGGGTGGTGCAGCCTACTGGGTGGGTGTGGATGGAGTGGGTGTGGCCTACTGGGTGGGCATGGCCAGCTCTACATCATTTGCGTCAAAGGTTCCTGTGGGAGCCTCGGCAGGAGTGGGACAGATCTGGCAGAAGGGGGTGGGACCGGGGCAAGCACCAAGGCATGGTCCACAGGAAGAGCCTCATTGTTCCTCTCAGGCCATGCGAGGGGGGGCTGGATGGTGCCGCGGGCTTCCCGGAGCCCTGGGTAGCAGAAGTCAAACGCCCAGCCTGTCCCTCAAGCACCTGTGGCACCAAGCCCAGCCCCACTACCCCAATGGGGTGCCCAGCTGCACTTACCTCCTTCTCAAGGCTGCTTCTGCTGTGCTTGCTCTCCTTAGTCAGGTTGCTCATGATGGGTATGAGGGCAAAGTCAGAGGAGGCCCACTCCCTCTCCATGGGAGGAGACCTGGCTTTGTATCCAAAGCTTCCTTAGGAATAGGATGGGAAACTCCCAGGATAGGCCAGGAGGAGGGTGCAAGGGGATGGTGAAAGAACAGCAGGGCAGGACTAAGGCAGGACTTCCCTCAGACCCTCCTTCTCCTTCCTTCCTTCCTTCCTTCCTTCCTTCCTTCCTTCCTTCCTTCCTTCCTTCCTTCCTAAGAACAGAGTGGTGGGAAAATATTTGAGATGAGGGAGGGAGAAAAACAGGCAAGAAACGCAGCTGGGGAGGTGTCACTCTTCGTGAGGAATGAAGAAATGCACCATCCCAGGAAGTGGCCAGTACATGGCCCTTGCCTACTTTACATGTCTGGCTTGGTGGGCTTTGGGGGAGGGGACACCATGAGCAACGTGAGAGTCGAAGTTACCTGCTCAGTGCCGTCCAGCCCCTAGCCTGCTTGGTTTCGGCAGGCAGCAGGGCGCTCTGCTCACAGCGCCGAGAGGCTGAGCCGGGGCAGTATGAAGCTCGCCAGGTTTGCACCTTGCTGCCTGCTGGGCAGGGGGCTAAGCGGCGGCACACTTCTTTTTGAATTTGCACCGCCTGCTCAGCCTCTCGGTGCCCCACTGCCTGCTGAAACCCCTCCCCTGGAGCCCATCAAGCCAGATATGTGAAGTAGGCAAGGGCCATTTGCTGGCCACTTCCATGCAATGGTGCCTTTCTTTATTCCACACAAAGGGTGACACCTCCCCAGCGTGCGCCCAGGGGGCAGGGCCAACGCGGCAGGAGCCGGTCCCTTGCTGTTTCCAGATGGCCTTGTGGAGTTAAGACTGAATGCGTTTCAGCATAAATGGCCACCACAAAATTGTACATTGGCTCCCGGGTGGCCTGGGCCAGGGCCAAGGCAGCAGGGGCCATTCCCTCACTGTTTCCGGGATGGCTTCGCAGGTCACATGAAACACGTCACAGGCCACATCCGGTCCCCGGGCCTTGTGTTTGACATGTCTGTTGTAGAATATGATGAAACTAAGAAAAAAGGAAAAAAATGATTAGCTGTCTACCAGCCATTTGAACAGGCCTAGAATATCCAACTGACATACTATAAATTACAACAATGCTAATTTGTGTGATACTTGTAAGATAACATAACAAGCCATAGGGCTTAATTCTTTGATATGTTTTCCATTGTTTAGGTTAATATTTTTCAGAATGGTAGGTCTGTTTTATGTTTAAGTTTAAAACCATAAATATGCAGGACCAGTACAATGATAGCCATGCATTGAGCAATACTAATTTCCATCAAAATAAAATTATCTTCAAACTTTTTATCTACTTTTTACAGAATGAAAGTAATTACATGTGAAATTGCATGGCACAACAAAGAACCAGTGTACAGCTTAGATTTCCAGCATGGAACTGATGGTAAAATCAATAGACTGGCTTCAGCTGGCGTAGACACAACTGTTCGTGTGAGTTAAATGTCGATGATATTGCTATATTTTTACATGTTCTCTTGCAATATGAAAACTTTAATTTATGGAACTGGAAAGTTTTATGTATATATCCCTAAAGATTTAGAAGTTTGGTCATAGAACAGCAAATATTTTATTTCTGTACATATATTCAAATTGATTATGAAAATGTTAAAATGTTTTATTATAACATTTTATATATAACATACAACTTTCAAACTGTGTTATCATTAGGATTTTTGGGGAATTTTCAATTTTTTAGTTATTCTGATATTTTTGCTTTGGATGTTGTGTTTTTATAACCAGATATGGAAAGTAGAAAAAGGACCAGATGGGAAAGCAATTGTAGAATTCTTATCCAATTTAGCTCGTCATACCAAAGCAGTGAATGTTGTACGTTTTGCTCCCAGTGGTGAAATTCTGGCTTCTGGTGGTGATGGTATGTGTAAACTTGGCATTGAAATATTGGTTTTAAATTTCTTAACATTTAGTAAGAAAATAGGTGTGTTTATTTTATATACTGTATTTATGCCCGTTTATAAAGGAATGAGGGTGCAATGGCTCAGTAGTTAAGGACTCTGGGTTTGTCAGAAAGCTGATAGTCCAGGTTTGAGATCCGAGCGCCGTGCAATAGGGTGAGCTCCCTTTGCTCGCCCCAACTCCTGCTCACCTAGCAGTTCAGAAGCATGCAAATGCAAGTAGATAAATAGGTACCACATTGGTTGGAAGGTTCTGGGCACCTCGGTGTATAATCATGCTGGCCATAGGACTATGGGAAATATCTTCAGACAACACTAGCTTCCTCCCTAAGAAATGGAGATAAGCACTGCCCTCTAGAGTCGGAAAGGACTGGACAGAGGAAACTTTTACCTTTATAAACGAATAGCTCAGTAGCTTTTCTTGTAATGCAATTATGGTTATTTTTCAATCTGAGAATCTTATAAAAGACAATTGTACTTTTCTTTAAACATTAAAAATAATATTATAAAGTTATCAGGTTATTTAGAGAAATGGAATTGCAATAGTAGTAATACTGTCTATATCTTAAATTACTAATGTACTAATCTTATTCTTAATTGGCATGTAATTTTTTCCTGTATTTCATAATTGTTGTATTGAGCTGTGGAAACAATTTTCTACTGCAGTCATATAGTACCATTGGTGTAACAAGGAGAAAATAAACTGAGTGTTACAGATGACAAATTTAAACAAAAGGCCAGAAACAACTAAAGAAATCCCAATTTTACACTGAGTTTTAGTACTCAGTGATGAGGGATATATACTGTATTGCTTAGTTCAATCATGAACTGTATATTACACAGAAATTACTTCCATTAAATTCAACAGGTTTTATTCCAGATAGACCGCAATTCTATCTATGCCTAACTCTAATTCTGTTGTGGCTAGCCTCATAAACCACTATTGTGGTTAAGGCATCAGGCTAGAAACCAGGAGACATGAGTTCTAGTTCTGCCTTAGGCACAAAGGTGACCTTAGGCCAGTCATTCTCAGTCCTAGGAAGGAGGCAATGGCAAACCGCTTCCAGAAATCCTTGCCAAGAAAACTTTGAAGGCTTGTCCAGGTAGTTGCCAGGAGTAAAAACCTGACCTGAAGGAACAAAATAAAATTTTGTAATACTATGTAATAATAAAATAATAGTTGGAAAATTGCCAAAGATTTTTCAGAGAAATTAATGTTCACAGATGCTGCAATTTTATTATGGAAGTTGAATGACAACAAGGAGTTAGAAGCAGTTGCATTTCAAGATGACGAGGATGATAACCAGCTGAACAAAGAAAACTGGACAGTAATCAAAACTTTAAGGTAGCTTTCTCAACTTTTATTGAAATTTCACTGAATGAAATAGTATCTTGAGCCAAGCTGCTAATTATGACAAAATTGTAACAATATAAGACTGGCTTACTTGTGTACTTGAGCTCTATTTTAATAGTTAGCTAGAATATTTACCAGCATCATCCCATTAATAACTTACTTCCTTTTTATCAGTTTCTTTTTACTATGCTTCTTTTAAGAGGTCACCTGGAAGATGTATATGATATTTGCTGGACTCCTGATGGAAATTATATGGCATCTGCCTCAGTTGACAACACAGCTATATTATGGGATGTCAATAAAGGTAACTAATTGTTAATGCTCAAATTGCATGAAATTACATGCAATGAAATCTATAACAACCAGACTATTCACATGCTTTGAATAAATGTATGTATGCTATGTATTCTTCTACATATTATTACAATCTCTTTCATTTTAATTGTAAAGGCAAATTGATGAGTCAGATAAAGTAGCATGCTAATTAATTTACTTGCCTAATGTATCAATAGAGGACTAGAAGAATTCAGGTGTGCATATATTGTATTTATATGCTGAGATATTTACTGGGAAAATTAGGAGGTATATTAATAATAGCAATAACAGTTTCTACAAATTGGAAAATACTATGAATGGTAAAACCATGTCTATTTTTTTATATCTGTTATACTTGTTAGAGCAAATCTTGACTGTTAGGCCATCATAGAACCCTTGACAATAGCACTGTGTAACACATTGGATCTGCAACATGAAGCAGTCATGGTGTTTGATGGTATGGGACAGCTGGTACACAACCTTCTCAAGGTTTTCTCCTATAGGTTTGCATGTCCTGAAGCCACTTTCACCAGCTATTCCAGATAATGGAATATCTGCTGCTAACATAAACATTTGTCAGGATAACCTTGGAAAAGCACTGAAGCAGCCATTCCAAGCCTTCAAGTAGCTGTATCAATTTTATATCTTTGCTGTATGAATCTAGAACAGTGGTTAAATTACAAATGAAATATTCTGTCAAAGCATGCAGACCTACTATCCATGCCAAATAAATTAACTTGGACTTATATAGATTTGTAAGTGGATTGAGTGCCAATGATATGGTACAACATTACATCATTATAGAAAAGAATATTTCCAGCTACAGTAAAAGATTTCAGAACCCATTAAAAGGGATATTTACTCATGGTTTCCTTTCTTCCCTTTTAAATTTTATTTTGTAACATTTGTAGCTCTTTGTGGATAGTATGTTAGAAGCAGCAAAAAGAAGTATTAGTGTTAAGAATATTAAATTTGCAACCAAAGAGCATTTCAAAATTATTAGATTGCTGACTCCTATTTAAAACAAATATGCAATTTAATTGCTTATAATAATACCGCTTATTTTTATATCATTAAAGAGTATGTACATATTTATTTTTAACTGCATAAAAATGAAATAGTTTATTGTACTTATTTCTCTAATTAGTTTCTAAAATGGAAAGAAAAAATATAGGTTATAAAAATTGATATGAGGGAAATTGCTATAAACAGAATTATTTGTCTCACTGTTTTGAAAATTAACTTAGTGTTGTTTCTAGGGCAAAAGGTTTCTATTTTTAATGAACACAAAAGTTACGTGCAAGGAGTTACATGGGACCCTGTAGGACAGTACATTGCGACTCTTAGTTGTGATAGGTAAGTTTTTACTGCTTGGAATATGAGATTGTTATTTTAATTGATTCTGCATTGTATAAAAGTGTTTACAACAGTTAGGCAGTATATCTAATAGTCCATAGTAATGCAGGCTAGAGGCCATAGAATCTTTTGTTTTATGTGCTGCTATCCACCAATAAAGTTTATGTTCTTTTCTAATATTAAAAAAAAATCAGGTACTTGTTCTATTCAGATACATATATATTCAAAGATCATTGGAAATAACTCTCAGATATAATACAGTAATCTTATTCATCAATTTCCTTTAAATATTACTGTATTATTATATTGTTCCTAAACAAAAAATGGTATAGATCTGTGCTAAATGGTATTAGTGTTTCACAAGGCTTTGCTTTTGATTTAGCTGAGATGCTTCAAGATGCACAGGAGCTATCTCCAACTTATTCAGACAACTTCATCTTTTTTCATAATTTTACAGCTGCGGGAAACAAGCTTCCACTTCAGCCATGTGTGCCTAGAAATATGGCCTGTCTTAATGAGTCATGGTCTAGCATTACATTTATACTTCTGCACATCCTTCCAAATCAAATCCAAATCAATGTACAAGCCTAATTGTAGAACATTGAAATTGATACAAGTGTTTTTTCTAGAAAAGCTTTAGAACGCAGGCATTTTTATCACCATGCAGTTACTTAGTTCAATGTTTGTAATTAATACTTTTCTTTTATGCAGGATACTGAGAGTGTATAACACACAGACCAAGAGAGTGGCATTCAATGTTACTAAAATGTTATCAGGAGGAGGCTCTGAAGGAGAGGTCAGAATTAATTAAAACTCTTTCTAGCTATAGTTCTGAAATATTAAAAATATTTAAATATTTTTATAATATTTATATGATAAATAAATATCAGTGTATTTATACTCTTTATCACTGAAAATATACACTGGAGAATATTTTCATCATTGTTTTTAATTAACAGATTCTGCCCTTCATTTTTGCCCCAAAAGAGAGCAGAAATGAGGAGACCAAAAAGGAATGAGAATTTTCAGAGATTAGATCTCCTTTTTATCTTCCATTCTACATTATTGTCCTCATTTCAGATAGTAATATAGCATTCCAAAAGATACTTCTTTCATTCTAAACCACTCCAGTTGGACAATGATGTGGGGAAGAGAACACCAAGCTATTTTGAATGAATTCATGTCACTGGAGCCTGGCAGATTACATGTCAGGGTGTTAAAGGAACACCTTTATCTGACAGTAATCTTGGAGTGCAGGGGATTTGCAGAAAAAGATTATATTATAATCTTTTTTAAGGGCGAAAAAAATTGACCCAGAAAGCTGCAGATCAATCAGCTTTACATCAGTAGCTGGGAAATATTTAGAAAAAGATAATCAAGTTGTGGCTTTGTAAACATTTAGAAAGGAATAAGATCTTCACTAAATACAGGATGGTTTTATTAAAAATAAATTATGCCAGATTAATCTTATTGATTTTTTTCTGATACAGTGACTAGATCAGCAGATCAAGGGAATGCTTTGAATATAGTGTACCAAGATTTCAATAATGCATATGATAAAGTTGACTATAGCTTCCTGATTAATAAAATGGAATGAAATGGGATGGATGGTCTAATTACTAGATGGTTTCAGAATTGTTTGAACAAATATTCCCATCATTTGTCCTTAATGGATCTATTATATTTATATGAAGAGAGTTACGTAGTAGGAACTTCAGGATTCTGTCCTGGGCCAGGTATTTAACATTTTTATAAGTAACTTAGACGAGATAAAAGGGATGGTCAGCAAATCTCCAGATGAAATACAGCTGATGATAATTGCTAATATCTCAGAAAACAGGATCAAAATTGAAAAGGGTTTGGAGACACTTGAACCTTTTGCCCTTTTCAATAAAAATCCAATTCAGCAGTGAAAAATATAATATTCTGCACTTCGGCGGGAAAAATCAGATGCACAAATACAAGACAGGCAATACTAGGCTGGTGGCAGTGGTGGTATATCCATAGATGAAGGGCAAAAAACAGTGGATCAAGCTTTACAGAGAGGAAATGGAATTCAATAAGGAATTCTTTATTGACAATAGGAGCTGTTAAACAGTGGAACAGCCTGCTTTCTGGAGTTGTGGGGACTTCATCAGTGGAGGTTTTCAAACAAATGTTGGGCAGCTACTTGTCTAAAATGGTTGAGGCTTCCTATCCATGGGCAGGGATGGAGCTAGAAGACTCTCAAGTTGCTTCTGCTCCTAATGATATTCTGAACATTTAGACATGATTGCTGTCACCACCATGCCTATAGCTAGATATGGGATCCACATGTATAAACAGTAAAATATCAGAAGTATGTGGTGTATATACTCAATTCAAGATTGTTTCACTCATTTTTTTTAGTAGTTAGTAACATGTAGTTAACTGATTAAAAATTCCTCTTATGCCTTTGCTTCACAACTGGGTTTCCTAGCATGAGTCTTGCAAGTGTCTATGGGCCTTCATATACAGTACCTTTCATTGGAACCTACAAAGCTTTCACATCTTTTTACATCTTTAAAGCTATTTTTTATTAAAAGTACCTGGCATGCTATAAAACAATTTGACTGAATTGTATTTATTTCCAAGACGTCTTTAGCCATCATATGAGCTAATGAGCTTTCTCAAAAAATAAAAATGAGCAGCTAAAGTCCAGTACTTTTGAAAGTGTACCTATTTTCCCAGGAAAAAAAGAAATATAGGGGGGTGGGGGGATAGTTAGCAATATATTGGTGCTTTTAATTTTGTGACTAGCAAGATTTCCCAGCTACCATCTTGTGAAAGTTCCCAATCATATTCTCAGAATCCCAGAATTGGTAAATTGGATTTGTTTCATTTTGAAATTTTTTTAATATATGAATTTATCTACTGAGTTAAATCAACTTTAAAAAATACCAAAAACAGGAAGATATTGAGTAAGTTCTAAATCAGATTGTTTTTAAGGTTGTTGCTTGTTATATTTGTATGTTGTTTTCCTATCTGACAAGGCAGATCTATAGATTCAGTAAGTATAAATTAAAAATGCATAGATACATGTAAAAGAGAATAATTTCTTAAAGATTGAGACATTATTTGTAAGTAATCCCCAAATATTACTGGATTGCAAATCCCTTTGATAGAATTGGAATTTAGCAGCAGATTGAGATCACAGTATAAACTAGACTATGACTTTCTGAATAAAAATCCAAAATCACTGTGTTTGTTCATGCAGCGATTGGTATTGAACAGAATTGTTTTATCATTATTAAAAAAAATTCAGGTGAAAAGTTATAGAATGTTTCACGATGACAGCATGAAGTCCTTTTTCCGGAGATTGACTTTTACTCCTGATGGTTCTCTACTTCTGGTTCCTGGTAAGCAGTTTTACTTTCATTATTTCATACAGTTCTATAGAGGTCATGGGTCTCTGAGCATTTTGAAAAAAAAAATACCTGTTCACGTTAGCATGTAATGTGAGGCATGTTGACATTTTTTATTATTTTGATTAAATCAGAAACATGACTTTTGTTGTCAAGGTCTGCATTCCAAATGTGAAATATTTTGGAGAGATTGGATTTTGCTCTTTAATTCCTCAACTCCCAAATTACACAAAAAGTATTTATATTTCTTTTGAGTTCAAAGGGGAATATTTAAATTGTGGGTTTTAACTGTAGATTTTTAATGTTGTACACCTCCCAGCGTCACTCTGTGTGAGTTGTGTGGCTATATAAATTTGGTATGGATGGATGGGTGGGTGGATGGATGGACGGACGGACGGACAGACAGACAGAGAGACGGACGGACGGACGGACAGAGGGATGGATGCATGGTGTATTCGGCAGAGAAGCTTGAAAATCCTAGAATAGATCCAACTCACACAGCGGAAATTGTAGAAATTAGACTAGGGGAAATCTCTGTATGTGTTGCCTATGTTTTATCAAAAAGTTAGTCTCCAAATCTACATTCCTGAAGTCACCATTAAGTATTTACTAGACTGGGAATGCCCCTTTATGGATTACTGCCTTGTCGTGGCGAAGGGGCTTGTGTAACTCAATGAAGCTATAAGCTATGTCATGCAGGGCCACCCAAGACGGACAGGTCATAGCAGAGAGTTCTGACAAAATGTGATCCACTGGAGAAGGAAATGGCAAACCACTCCAGTATCGTTGCCATGAAAACCCCATGGACAGTACTAAAAGGCAAAAAGATATGACGCTGGAAAATGAGCCCCTCAGGTCGGAAGGTGTCCAATATGCTACTGGGGAAGAGCAGAGGGCTAATACTAGTAGCGCCAGAAAGAATGAAGCGACTGGGCCAAAGCCGAAAGGACGCTCAGCTGTGGATATATCTGGTGATGAAAGGAAAGTCCGATGCTGTAAAGATTTTTTCTCCATAGGAACCTGGAATGTGAGATCCATGAATCAAGGCAAGCTAGACGTAGTCAAAAAAGAGATGACAAGACTGAACATCGACATCTTAGGAATCAGCGAACTAAAATGACAGGAATGGGTGAATTTAACTCAGATGACCATCAGGTATACTACTGAGGGCAAGAATCCCTCAGAAGAAATGGAGTAGCCGTCATAGTCAATAAAAGAATAGGAAAAACAATACTGGGATACAATCCCCAAAATGACAGAATAATCTCAATTTGAATCCAAGGCAAACCATTCAATATTACAATAATCCAAATCTATGCCCCAACTACTGGTGCTGAAGAGGATGAAATTGACCGGTTCTATGAAGCCCTACAGCACCTTATAGAATTAACACCAAAAAATGATGTCCTTATCATCATGGGGGATTGGAATGCTAAGGTAGGAAGCCAAAAGATAACCAGAATAACAGGCAAGTTTGGCCTTGGAGTACAAAATGAAGCAGGGCACAGGCTGATAGAATTTTGTCAAGAGAATACGATGGTCATAACAAACACTCTTTTCCAACAACCCAAGAGACGGCTGTACACATGGACATCACCAGACGGTCAACATAGAAATCAGATTGACTATGTGCTCTGCAGCCAAAGATGGAGAAGCTCTATACAGTCAGTAAAAACAAGACCAGGAGAGTAAAAACAAGACCAGGAGCTGACTATGGCTCAGATCATGAGCTTCTCGTTGCAAAATTTAGGCTTAAATTAAAAAAAGTAGGGAAAAGCACTAGGCCACTCAGGTATGAACTAAATCATATTCCTAATGAATATACAGTAGAGGTGACAAATAGATTTAAGGAATTAGATCTGATAGACAGAGTGCCTGAAGAACTATGGATGGAAGTTCGCAACATTGTACAAGAGGTAGCAACTAAAACCATCCCAAAGAAAAAGAAATGCAAGAAAGCAAAATGGCTGTCTGAGGAACCTTTGCAAATAGCTGAGGAAAGAAGGGAAGCGAAAGGCAAAGGAGAAAGAGAAAGATACACCCAATTGAATGCAGAATTCCAGAGAATAGCTAGAAGAGATAAGAATGCCTTCTTAAATGAACAGTGCAAAGAAATAGAAGAAAACAACAGAATAGGGAGGACCAGAGATCTCTTCAAGAAAATTGGAGATATGAAGGGAACGTTTCATGCAAAGATGGGCATGATAAAGGACCAAAATGGCAGGGACCTAACAGAGGCAGAAGAGATTAAGAAGAGATGGCAAAACTACACAGAAGAACTATACAAGAATGAGCTTAACGTCCCAGATAACCACAATGAGATGGTCACTGACCTCGAACCAGACATCCTAGAATGTGAAGTGAAATGGGCCTTAGAAAATCTGAGCAACAACAAAGCTAGTGGAGGTGACAGTATTCCAGCTGAGCTATTCAAAATCTTAAAAGACGATGCAGTAAAAGTGCTACACTCAATTTGCCAGCAAATTTGGAAAACTCAACAGTGGCCACAGGATTGGAAAAGGTCAGTTTACATTCCAATTCCAAAGAAAGGCAATGTCAAAGAAAGTTCAAACTATCGCACCAATTGCACTCATTTCACATGCTAGTAAAGTTATGCTTAAAATCCTACAAGCTAGACTCCAGCAGTATGTGGATCGAGAACTACCAGAAGTACAGGCAGGATTTCGAAGAGGCAGAGGAACTAGAGATCAAATTGCCAACATACGCTGGATCATAGAGAAAGCTAGGGAGTTCCAGAAAAAAATCTACCTCTGCTTCATTGACTATGCTAAAGCCTTTGATTGTGTAGATCACAACAAATTGTGGCAAGTTCTTAAAGAGATGGGAATACCAGACCATTTTATTTGTCTCTTGAGAAACCTATATGCGGGTCAAGAAGCAACAGTGAGAACTGGACATGGAACCACTGAATGGTTCAAAATTGGAAAAGGAGTCCGGCAAGGCTGTATACTGTCGCCCTGCCTATTTAACTTATATGCAGAGCACATCATGAGAAAGGCAGGGCTAGATGAATCAAAAGTTGGAATTAAGATTGCCGGGAGAAATATCAACAACCTAAGATATGCAGATGATACCACTCTAATGGCAGAAAAGTGAAGAGGAACTAAAGAGCCTCTTGATGCGGGTGAAGAAGGAGAGTGCAAAAGTTGGCTTGAAACTCAACATTAAGAAAACCAAAATCATGGCATCCGGCCCTCTCAATTCCTGGCAAATAGATGGGGAAGAAATGGAGGTAGTGACAGATTTTATTTTTCTGGGCTCCAAGATCACCTCAGATGGGGACTGCAGCCAAGAAATTAAAAGACGCTTGCTCCTGGGGAGGAAAGCTATGGCAAATCTAGACAGCATACTAAAAAGCAGAGACATCACCCTGCCAACAAAAGTGCGTATAGTCCAGGCCATGGTTTTCCCAGTTGCAATGTATGGCTGTGAAAGTTGGACCATAAGAAAGGTTGAGCGCCAAAGAATTGAGGCCTTTGAACTATGGTGCTGGAGAAGACTCCTGCGAGTCCCTTGGACTGCAAGGCGTTCAAACCGGTCAGTCCTAGAAGAGATCAACCCCGACTGCTCTTTAGAAGGCCAGATCCTGAAGTTGAAACTCAAATACTTTGGCCACCTAATGAGAAGGAAGGACTCACTGGAGAAGGGCCTAATGCTGGGAAAGATTGAGGGCAATAGAAGAAGGGACGACAGAGAATGAGATGGCTGGATGGAGTCACTGAAGCAGTAGGTGTGAACTTAAATGGACTCCAGAAGATGGTAGAGGACAGGAAGACCTGGAGGAACATTGTCCATGGGGTCGTGATGGGTTGGACACGACTTCGCAATTAACAACAACAACAAGAAGACTGGGAATGTCACCCCATTTATATCAAATTGCCCTTCCCAACTAAATCAATTTGCCTTTTTTAACTTTTGTTTTAATGAAAAGCAGAACACTTTATTCATTGAAAGAAGATTGTCTCTGTTAATATGTTATCCAGATTCTCTCCCTCATAATATTGAAAACTTGAAAAATAAAAAAACAGAAAAGAGAATATTGTTTTAGAATCACAAATACAATAAAACAAGACATTACCATTATTTATTCCTGAAGACTTCCCATAGCATTGTATCACTACAATTGCCATACAAAAGAAATGACAGGGCAATGTAGCAAAGATTTGCATTCCTTCACACTTTCTGTTTTTAAAATTGGAAATCTATCAAATGAAATGAAATCTCAACCACAGAAGATGTAAGAAATCTAACTCAAAAAATAAGACTGAATACACAGCATATAAAGGCTGAACCTTATGCAAAATATCCTATTTTTCCTTGTTTTCTTCACCTGTTTTTCTAAAGTGTAAGCATGTAAACAGTTTAAAACCAGAATAATTACTCAGTTTATTACCTTGTTGTTGAGTTCTTATTTCATTTATTTATTAAGCACCCATCTTGTCAAATGTGACCCTAGGCCATTTACAATGATATGTTTTTAACTTCAATTTTTGCCAATATGAAATTATCAAAATTAAGAGATTCTAAACTAATTAGATTTCTTTAGCTTATGATTCTGCTTGAATGCAAAAGCAAAAACATTTAAAGCAAACTCAATTAGTAAATATAAGTATTCCAAAATATGCTATGCAAAATAATGTTACATATAGTTTCAACAAAAGTGTTCCACAAATTTCAGCTGTACCTGGAATCAGGAATATGGCTGTTCCTTTGCATCTTTTAAAAAGAGCATTTTCTATTTCTGTCATCTCCTATACATGTTATTCTTTTGTAGTAATGAATTATGAATGAATTGCTTTCATGTTGCTTTCAAATCTTATTGCATTCTTTGACCAAGTGACAAAATTAGCGGACCAGAGGAATGCTGTGTATAATTTACTTGGACTTCAGTAAGGCATTTGACAAAGTAGATCCCAACCTACTACTTGATAAGATAGAAAAATGCAGGTTAGACAGCATCATCACCAGATGGATCCGCAAATGGCTGACCGGCCGTACTCAGCGTGTGGTCCTCAATGGAACCACATCTATATGGAGGGAAGTGTGTAGTGGGTGCCCCAGGGCTCTGTTCTGGGCCCAGTGCTCTTCAACATCTTCATCAATGATTTGGATGAGGGGATAGATGGGGAACTCATCAAATTTGCAGACGACACCAAGCTGGCAGGAATAGCCAACACTCAAGAAGACAGGCTTAAGATACAGGAGGATCTGGACAGACTTGAACAGTGGGCGCTATCTAATAAAATGAAATTCAGTGGTGAAAAAAGTAAGGTTCTACATTTAGACAAGAAAAACCAAATGTAAAGGTATAGTATAGGGGGTACCTTGCTCAATAGTAGTAACTGTGAGAGTGATCTCGGAGTCCTAGTGGACAATTACTTAAATATGAGCCAGCAGTGTGCTGCAGCTGTCAGAAAGGCCAATACAGTGCTAGGCTGCATTAACAGGGATAGAATCAAGATCATGCGAAGTATTAATACCACTCTACAATGCCTTGGTAAGGCCACACTTGGAATACTACATCCAGTTTTGGTCACCATGATGTAAAAAAGATATTGAGACTCTAGAAAGAGTACAGAGAAGAGCAACAAAGATGATTAGGGGACTGGAGGTTAAAACATATAAGAAACGGTTGCTGGAATTGGCTATGTCTAGTATAATGAAGAGAAGGACAAGAGGGGACATGATAGCAGTGTTCCAATATCTCAGGGGCTGCCACAAAGATGAGGGAGTCAAGCTATCTCCAAAGCACCTGAAGGCAGGACGAGAAGCAACGGGTGGAAACTAACCAAAGAGAGAAGCAACCTAGAACTAAGGAGAAACTTCCTGACAGTTAGAACAATTAACCAGTGGAACAACCTGCCTTCAGAAGCGGTGAATGCTCCAACTTTGAAGTTTTTAAGAAGAAACTGCACAGCCATTTGTCCGAAATGGTATAGGGTTACCTGCCTGAGCAGGAGGTTGGACCCGATGACCTCCAAGGTCCCTTCCAACTTTTTATTATTATTGTGGTTGTTGTTTTTTCGCAATAATGTGCCTCTAATGAACTTCTTTTAATTTGTCCTGATAGGAAGATACATGGTCAAAGATCTGCATTTCTAACTGTTGTCATGTGTTATAAACCACTTTAAGTATAATATGAATATATACAACTATCTTAGATATAGATATTAGAAATTAGAAATTAGATTATTTTCAATAGAACAATAATGCAAATCTTCATTATGGGCTATGTACATTTGAAGCAAATATAAACATATGAATTATTTAAATTGGCAATGTTGATTACACTTGGCATTATCCAACATTGTAAAACTGACATTTTGGCACTGTTTTCATATTCTCAGCAGGCTGTGTGGAATCAGGTGAAAATGTAATGAACACTACTTATGTCTTCTCCAGAAAAAATCTGAAAAGGTGAGGGCTGAATTAATTCCATATTTATGTAAATATTAAATGCATTCTGTAATTTCTATTTTTATTTTTAAATCCTGCTGTTATTTTTTAGACCCATTGCTCATCTACCTTGTCCTGGGAAGGCAACATTAGCTGTTCGTTGCTGCCCTGTCTACTTTGAATTGAGATCTGCATGTAACAAAGGTATTTTGAATCTGTTAGATAGTTGTTTATATTGCAGATTTATTAAAAAATAAATTAAATATAATTAAACTATTCTGTTCTACATCTTCCTCGTTTATAACGCAAAATCACAAACCTTATTTGTCATCTCCAGCTCTCTGCTATATACCAGTACTGTGTTTTATGCTGTTTCATTTTATTTAACTTAGTATTTATCACTAACCCCTAAAGTCTATATTAGTTTATCTTAAAAGAATATTTAAAATTAAATTAAAATTAAAATGTTACATTATGGTAACCAATAAAAACAAGTTAAATTATGCTATGACATGTTCTACATCTGTAGTAGCAAATCATTGTTTGTGTGTGTGTGTTTACACACAAATACATACATACTAAGTGTTTTTCCGGTGAAACCGGTCTAATAGAACACCTGTTCTATTGCTATGATTACTTTTCAGCCCCAATCTAAGAGCATTTTGCAGGCTAAAGTTGCTACTACGATAAACTATTTCTGTGTTAAATTTAGATTTTGCCAACAAAGTAGTAACTGTAGCCTACAAAACGCTCCTAGATTGGGGCTGAAAGGCAAAAGTAATCATAGCCATAGACCAGGTGTCCTATTAGACCGGTTTCACCGGAAAACACTTACTATGTATCCTCCCTGGTTCATCTGACAGAAGTGAGGAGAACACCTGTCTTAGAGGTTAATACAGCTGCCTAACATGCAAACGGCCCAGGTTCAAATCTCAGAAGGGTATGGCTAGCTGATGAGAGTTAAATAGCTTGAAATAGCTATACTAGTCTCCCTTTAACTCTTTGTCAGCAAAATCTAAATTTAACATAAATACATACATATGGGGCGATGTGGTAGCTCAGCGGTTAAGATGCTGGGCTTGTCATCTGGAAAGCTGGCAGCCCAGGTTTGAGACCCGAGCACCATGCGACAGGATGAGTGCCTGTTCTTGCCCCAGCTCCTGCGAGTAGATAAATATGTGTCACTTTGGTGGGAAGGTAACAGTGCTCCGTGATGTCATGCTGGCCACATGACTGCAAAAATGTCTTTGGAGTGCACTGGCGCAATAGCCTTGAAACAGTGATGAGTACCGCCCCTATAATCAGCAACAACTAACGGAGTAAAATCTACAGAGACTCCTTTATCTTTTTTTTATGTATATATGTATGCAAAAAGTTGTTGCAATTCAATATTCTTTAAATTTTTCAATGCCAGTAAATTGTTTTCTATTTATAAGATAAGATAACCTTTATGTCATTTTTTTACTATGGGCAAAACGGCACACATCAAAAATGAAATTTAGTTGCCCGCTCTCAAAGTAAAACACATACATGACACACACCTAAACATACTATGTACAACATATGTATAGACCCACACCCCTACATATACATAGAAAATAAACATTAAATACTGTCCATCTTGAATATATAACGGAAGGAGGAAGCTTGAGAGTTCACAAGGTTAATGCTGTATGGAATGAAACTATGGCTGAATCTGGATGTTCTGCTTCGGATACCACGAAGCCTCCTCCCAGAAGGTAACAAGGAAAACAGGTCGTGAAGAGGACGTGTAGTGTCCCAGATGATGTTACAGACCCTGCTCAAGTAGCATTTCTGTGCTATGTCCTGGATGGGAGGGAGGGAACTGCCAATGATCCTTTTGGCCATTCTCACTACTCTCTGCACCGCTTTCCTATCTGAAGCAGTGATGCTTCCAAACCAGACTGTGATGCTGGTAATAATATTCAGAGAGAGACTTCAAATCCCATACTGAATAAGAGTTCCTTCTAATCAGTGATTAATAATCAAATTGATAATAAAATTTTAATAAAATTTAGAATAATCAAATTCTGTCTCTAATCATTCTTAAATATAAGAGAATCCTGTAGTAGTTTATAATCTTGTCAGTAAGGTATGATTTTTATAAGAAACATTTTTGGTTGTTATAGAAGAAACTTCCCAAAAGATTGGTCTAACAAATCTGCCTTATCGGTTGGTTTTTGCTGTTGCTTCAGAGGATTCTGTGCTCTTCTATGATACACAGCAAACCTTTCCTTTTGGTTATGTATCTAACATACATTACCATACTCTAAGTGACATTTCATGGTAAGTAATTTGTCTTTTTTAATGGTAAAAATCTGTCTTAGTTTGCATACTTAATACTGTTGAGTTTCTTACTACCTTTCTTCCAAATGAACAAGAAAAATATTGTCTAATTTCACAGTTTGATAAAGTATTTTTAATACAGGTAATTCCCCAGATACAAGTGTTTATTTAGCGATATTTCACAAAAACAAGGTTATTCAGAAAGGGTACTTAAATTAAAAATTCAAAATTGTGATCAAAAACAGGCCTCTGTAGCCAAGTGACTTGGATTCAGTCATGGCTGCTGTGATGGCCATTTAACTCTGTGACTTGCCTGGGCCAGTTCAGGCCTACAAGTAGCTGAAAGTGGGTTTTTGTTTTGTTTCACTTTGTTTTTTGTGCCTGGTCACATGGCCAAGTAAGATTTTTGCAGCCAGTAGAACCGTTTGTTCTTGTTTTCCTGGAGCAGCGTGGAAGATCTGCTGCTTGTTGGGCTTGGGGACAGGGCTTGTAGAGAGCTAGAATTACTTCTGTAAGTATTTTAAAATATTATTTTTTGTTACTCTATAATACTATACTGTATTGTTTGTAATTACTTTGGGAATTGCTCTGCTTTTTATTGTTTTGTAAGTACAGTATTTTGCAAGATTGATTGTTTGCATTTGCCTGAAACTTATAGCATGTGGCTGCTGCTGCTCCTTTCCCTAGCATAGACCCACCAGAGATTCTGCTAAAAGTTACTGGAAGGAACCCCGTTTTGGATTTTGGCTGGAGAGGCTTGTCCTGATAAGGAGCAGTTTTTTTTTTTTAAAGGTTTTAAATTTAGATTGCCTCCAGAAGTTGTGTGTGTTCTCTCACTGGAGGCTTTTAAGAAGAGTCTGGATAGGCATTTATCAGAAATACAGTATAGTACTGTACTCTCTTGTGAGAGCAGTGGGTTAGACTAGATGACCTCAAGGTCCCTTCCATCTCAGTTACTGTTGCAAGCCAACAGTTCTGTAAACTCCACCCCATCTCTCTCTGCATGCCTGGCTGGAGATGCTTAAGCTAATGGCCAGCAAGTGTTTGTGTGTGTGTGTTTTAAAGCAGTCGGAGATTTCTGTAAACTAGAGACACTTTACTTTAATGGCAGCTGCACTTGTAGAGTTCTCCACCCGCCTGCCTACCAACAAATGGATTTTTTTTTAAAAAAAGCCTACTACCTACTTGGGAGGCAGTTTACAAGTACTGTTTCCAACTGGAAACAGCTGATTTGTGGCTGGAAACAGCCTGCAACGGTGGCAAGAAAAGTCCCTCATTTCAGGCAGCCATTGGAGGAAATAGTAAATCAAATCTTTGTTCATTTAATGACCCATTTGATTCAATTAATGAGTTTGATTTTAAAATGTTGTAATATTGAATCTGATTCATTTGACGATTACAAGTCTAATGGGCAGGGTCTATTAGGCTCGTACCTCGGGGACTATCTGTATTGGCAAAAACGCATGCATGTATAAGAGAGAGAGAAACATAAGAAAAAGTAACATTACTTTTGCAAATAAGTTATTCTTAGGCAAAATAAACAATGGTAGTATGGCTTCAGAATGACTTCAGGACCACAACCCCCAGTCTGTGGCCCAGTGCTGGGTCAAAGTCTATTCAGAATCGAGCTGCAGAAGTGGCAAGTGCTCACACATGGGCACTAAGCTGTATTTGTGAAAGTGGTATGCACGCGCATGCACCAAACCATTCCCTCTCCCCTCGCCACTGCCTGTCCACTGAACCGGAAAGGTTGGGGACCACTGCCTTAAATAACATATTTAACTGAAAAAAACTTAATTTGTGATTCCCAGTTTGCCTACCATGTCAAATTAGTCTTGCAACTCCAGTTGAGACATATCCTATCAGTTTTCTTCCCACCCCAAGAAATGTCAATGGGATGCGCGTGTGTGCATGTGCGCGCACACACACAAACACACACTTATATCTTCCTCCTTCTTATCCAGAAATGACATTTTGGAAAAGGACACAATATGTACAAAAATATTGAATTAATAACTATTCAGGTTGGCTGCCTGTTAAATACTATTAATAAATTGATCTCTATATGCAGATATATTCTCTTTTGCATACAAATTGCTCTCACGTACCAGAACACATAAGCACTGAAACACCAATATGTTTTCTTTCCCTCCTTCCAGTAGTAACAGCAGAAAAGAAGAAAATGGATGGGATAAAATGAACATAAAATTATTGAGATGAAAGCAAAATGTTAACTGGATGAGGAAAAAGAGAACAGAATTCTGACTTAAACTTTATACAAACATCAAATAGGTTTCTATCGGTTCCCTATAATCTTAGCTGATTTATTTTATTTTTTAAAAACTGGATTAAAATACATTAAGCAATCTTGCTAATCTTCAAAGGCTTTTCAGCAGTGAACTCTGAAGTTATTTCACTTCTTGCTCATGCTTTTATCATCAACAATTTCTGTTTTTATCAATCAATGTAATTTGATCCTTGTCAGGCAATTGAAGTAGAGGTTACTCATTTCCTATTAGCTAAATATGATAATATGTTCAATTATTTTACCATGTTTAATAGTTTCAGACATTAACTATAATCCATTTATGCTTTCATTCTAAATGGATCACTTGGGTACAAATATCAATTAGATTCAAGTAATTTTCCAGAGTTTTATGTGTATATTTTTGTTACTTGAAAATAATCGGGGCTGTTATCTACTTTTTCCCCATAAAATTTTCCAGGTCTAGTGATGGATCATTTCTTGCTATTTCTTCTACGGATGGATATTGTTCTTTTGTGACATTTGAAGAAGGTGAACTTGGAATCCCATTGAAAGAGAAGCCAGCCATTAATATCAAAACACCTAGCACGGCGGAAAAGAAAATTAAAAAGGGTCAGTCTCCGAGTGTTGTCTCTCCAGTTTCAAAACCAGTGGATGGCAGTCTTAAGTCTGGAGAACCATCAGCTACATGCCAGACTCCAACCAATAGTAAAGACTTGTACTCCATACCTGTTACGGTTAAAAACATCTCCATGTCATCTTCTGAAGATAAAAAATCTGTGCAGCCATCAGTTCACACATCAAAAGTAAACCAATCCAGGAGGGTTACATTGAATACTCTACAAGCATGGAGTAAGTCACCAAGGTAAGTTTAACGTTACAATTTGGAATCAAGAAATAAACAGGCTTCCAGGAATGATAGCTCTAAAGTGGAAGAGTCAGGAGAAACAAGGAGAAAGGGGAAGGAAAGTTGAAGGAGAAACGCATTACTAAAGAAAGCAGGTAGGAGAAAAATATACTTGCATATCTTCTAATGTGCCATGGTTTTGTTCTTGTTCTTAGGAGAGTTGCATTGATTCCTCTAAAAGCAGCTACTCCAGATTCTTCCAGAAATACAACTCAGCATGGTAAAATATCTTATTGTTGATAATTTATTCAGATGTTATTGTAAAACAATTACTAAGTAAATTGATTTTATTTCTATTGGTCATAATTTGATGCTGCTCCTTCTGGTTGAACAACCGAGATAGCATTATAAAGAATATATACGTCACCAGTCCAGGTTTTTAAAATACTAAAACATTTCTTGAATTCTTCAATATTTCAGAGAGACCATCACCACCTGAAGACCAATTACAAAATCCACCATCACCTAAGCGACTAAGAATGGATGAAACTCCATAACTGGATTTCCTGAAAATGAAAACAAAATATAAATCCATCGAAATGCTTTGTTACAGTGGGGACCTTTTTCTACCACACAGTTACCATACTCTGTGAAAGAGGTTTACTCAGAATGGCATTTGCATAAAACATGACTTTGTGGTGAGGAAGAAAATGCATCAGCGGTTTTTAGACATTTTAAGCAAAGTATTGGCTATATAATGGACCAGTAAGGATTCACAGATTATATGAGAAAGGCATAAGTGTTGTGTTTTCTTGGCTCTGTATCTGGTAGAGAAATCATTGCTTTTCAATTGACATTTACTTAATTATTTAGCTAATTGGCACAGTATATTTGTAAACTAATATATTCCTTCTTTCTTTCAAATCTTTAAGGTGGGCAGTTGGTTACTTAACTGCCCTACATTAGTTAAATGAAAGTATGAGTAAATCTGAATGTTTTCCTTACACACCAAGTAAATGTACCAGAGATTAGAAGTTGGATTTAAGTTTGAAAGCCTTCACTACTTAAATTGTCTACATTCAGGCTCATTAAAAAGAAGTCTTCAAATGTCTATGTGATATAAATTTGTTTATGTGTGGGCAATGGGTACATTGTTTTAAACAGTTATACATTTCTAATTTTAAAGATTATATTGTAAGAAAACTGTTTCAACTGTTCCCATAGAATATTTAACGTTAACATTCACACTTTTATCTGTATCCTCTGGTGTTTGTTTTAGTCATTTGCTTTTTAAAAAATGGTCATCTCAAATTGAATTAAAACAAAGCAAGATGCTATGAGGAATCATGAGAAAGAAAACAGTCAACTTTTAATGGAGATATATAATATAGTATTCAAGTAAATTGTGTTGCTGTCCAAATTCTTATTTAAATATTAAGATTAATTCATAAGAAAGAACTTGGATTATTTTGCACTCAATTCCAGAAGAGCTGAACTATATTGTGACAAAAAATATAGCAAAGCAGAGTTGTGCCATTTAGGAGGCAAGCCTGAAATTCCATGCATACTTGTCTAAAAATAAATCACATGATGTTTCAGGCCTTTTGTTTCCATGTAACTGTTCATAGAATATAGCTAATTTCTGCTTCACAGAAACACCAAGAGTCATTCAAACTGAATGCAATTAATTCTGTCTGACCACTACATTGGTGCAAGCTTTTTATACTATCATTTATAACTGATTTTCCCTGTTTGTGCAAACTCCAAAGAGATGAAAGATAAAAATGTGGATCCATACATACATGAGCCACTAGCTGTAATGATTACATGGATTCAGTTTGAAGAGACATCTGCTCTATTTCTTGTTAATACTGAAGGATCGGTTTTCATAAGCAAACTTACATTTATGAACTAAATCGGGAATATAGCATGTACTGACAAATTATTTGGACTAAGAAATAAATTAAGATGCATGTATCAATATAAAGAAAGATTACTAAATACTTTAAATATTTAAAAATGCATGTATCTAAGCTATATTCAAATACTTTTGTTTAACTATAGTAACAGTATTTACAATAGAAAAAGTATAGTGACATTATAGTATTCTCTAATATAATGTCTTAACGTCTTCTTAGAATATATGTGGGGTTTATCATAAGTTAATATAAAGGTATGACAAAGGTGTGTCTGGCATGTGCTGTGAAATATAGAGTGGGAAATGGAATGGAATAAGAGAGTCGGAAGGGTCTTCTAGTCCAACCCTTTGCTCAGGTAGAAGACCTTGTACCATTCTGGACAAATGGTTATCCAATCTCTTTTTGAAAACCTCCAGTAAAGCTGTCCCACTGATTAATTGTTCTCACTGTCATGGAATTCCCCTTAATGCTAATTTGGCTCTCTCTTTAATAATGTTGCATCTGTCCAGTCCTCGGGTCCTTTGGAGAAAAGGTGTGGATAAAATCTTGGACCTATAGATTTGTAGTAATCATACCAGTTTGTTTAGATTTCTACTGAATCTTGGATAAATTGAAATCTTTTTTTTTTAAAGCCCACTTTTTATGTAATTGTCTTATTTTGTACTTAAGCTAATTCTAGGTCATATCCAGGGTTAGTGGAAGACCTTAGGATGAACAGGAGGGAATAGTTTTTACCAGTTTATCTCCCTTCTGAGAGATCTCCATGCTGTCTCAAAAGAGTCTTCCCTCCCTTTAATCCCCTGGAACAGCTTGAAAGTTACAGAGGAAACAAGGAATTCTGAAAATACATCTTGATGTTAAATACTAGAATAAATATATTAAAGGGTTACCTGAAGTAAGTAGCTCCAATTAGGTTTATATTTTCTAAGCTGTAAAAATGAAGCTAAAAATAATACTTCACCAAATTGTACTTCATAATCATTTAAATTGGTGGGTTTTGCTAATTTAAATTAATTCATATTATTGAACGACCATTTCCAAGTCTCATCAGTCTTATTCCCAATATGAATTCCACTAGAAATCATTTTAGCAATTTGAACTGCTGTGTGGAAATGCAATTTGCCTTAGACTACAAATAAAGTGCAGACGTGCTGCTTGTATTCAGTGTGTGTGTGTGTGTGTGTGTGTGTGTGTGTGTGTGTAAATAAGGGAATATGTAGCATATGGTTTTGAAAAATATTCAGATACTGGCAGTGTAATGTTATACACAATTTGGCCACTTGATGTCACTGTTTTATAATAATTCACAACAGTTTATTCTGGAAAAATTTCTGAGCTTTTATAGATTTATTACTTCAGAAGGAGGAAAGCAAGTATAATCCAAAGTACCTTTCTCATCATTTTCTCATCATTGCTCATGTTAATAATCTATTTCAACTACATATGAAATATATAGTACTAGCTATAGGATTTCTAGCATATGACCTGTAGGTAAAAACTGTTTTATTCTTTAAATAATGAATTTTCATGTTGCTTTTTTTTTTTTAAAGGATATAACTGAACAATATTTTTCAAGCTGAAGTTTTAATTTTTTTATTCCATATCCAATTCCTCATGAACAACTAATACGAAAGAAATAATAATGGCTTATTTTCATATATAGTACTAATATAAATGCCCCCACAAATACAGCTTTAGCATATGCCATGGATTGCAATCATCTTGCTATAAACCATCCCTTTCCAATTTAATGTGCTTCCTCATGATGTCAGCAAGGCCTCTGGCTAAGAATTCTGGAATTTTTGGTTTTTATGAATCTGAATGAAGCAGGTTGAAAAAAGAAGCTCTAAATAGAAAGCCATGTCTTTTGTTTTGAAAATGAACTATAATAAGCATAGGACTTAACTATATCAACTAATTATGTTTCTTATATAAACATTATCAAGGGCTAAGAAGAAACATAATGAAAAAAATTATTAATAGACATGATTATTCATAACTTTTGAATTGTATGGCAACATTCAAGAGGGCAGGAAAGTATAACTATTTCCAACTTCCTTTTTCTCTAGGAACGGTTGTACAGAAAGTGGTACAACTCAGTCTTAGAGAAAGCAGATTATTTGGAGTCATGCTGCGTATTTCAGGCCAGGATACAACAGGAAACTACATTTGTCACGCAAAGGGAAGTACAACCCTTCTGGTCTGCCTTGACCTTTCTGGCTTTTGATACCTTCAACAATGGCATCCTTTGGGACTGTCTCTAATGAACGGGGGGGGGCACTATCTTGCAGAAACTGTTCTTCCAGAATGCGTAGTTCCAGTCAGGAAAGAGATGAAAAATTAAACCAGAAATACTTACTTTTTTGTTGTATCTTGGGAGTTTCTCCAATTCTCTATAACATACACACAAAACTGCTAGGAGACGTCACTGTTAGTTGTGTGTGTGCGTATGTGTGTGAAATAGGTAATGTGGTAGAAATAGCAACCCAGTGCCTGCAAACTGGCAAGGCTCTGCCACAGAGCATGAAATTCTTACTGGAGAGCATACAAAATCAATTAATCAATCACATCCAGCCTAAATAGCATATGCTAATCAAATATGCTAATCGAATTATAGTACTGCTAGAGATTATCATGTGCAGCGATTAAAGACTAAAGTGAAGGGAAATAAATTTACCTTTGAAGAAAGATATTGACCAAAATCATAATTAATTGGTTCACTGTGGTAAACAATAGAAAGCCTGTTTTTAATCAAGTCACCCTATCTTCTTCTTTTCTTCCTCTTCCACCTCTTCTTCATCATCATCTTGAGTCATGCTCAAGTCCTAGTGACTACATTCACATGAACATATCTGTCTACTGTTCTTGACAATCATACAGGTTTGTTACTGCATTCTTCCGGGTTGCTTTTTCAACTTCCTAATATAGTTTGAGATGACACTCTCCCATATACTAACCATTGCACATTGTTAATTATATATAGAAGAGGCAAATGTCCTCATTTGCAAGGAAATGAAGATTGCCTTTACAATTAAATTTACAGTTTAAATGAGAATTTCTCATTTACAAGGAAATGGAATCAACACTTTTAAATTCAATCCTGGTGGTCAATGTCATAGCCAAATTAACCTTACATCCACATTTCCTGCCTTACATTGCATGACTGATAGGAAACCAATACAAAGGACAGAGCTATTACACAGCTTTGTTTTCTTTGTCTACATGTCTTAGAATCAGATACACACAAATACACATTTGTCAAAATATCCTGTAAGTTTACAATGAAGTACAAATACAAAATTATCCATTTACATGATCAAAATACTTAGTATGAGATTACTTTGAATGATCACTACTAAAATAACAACACATCTGGGTCTTTTTGTACCAAATATGCCTTGATACTCACAGTTCCACAGTCTGGAACTCTTGTGCTCAGCAGCCTGTCTCTGAAATCACAAACCATTTTTTGTAAATATTTGCAGTCTTTCTCTAGGAAAAGGCTACTTTTTAAAAAAATTGCATTAATTATATGAAAAGTAAAATAGTAATAAACAGTACATGGAAATTATAGTACATTGATGACACCACAAACATCATAGATGTAATAACATAATTTGTATACACATATACAAACATTTAGACAAACACTGACAGCAACATATACATAAGAGAAGTCCCACATAATCATATTAAATGATTATACATAATCATTTAACCTGTAACCATTGTAAGAAGCAGATGCTTGTGAAGGACTGTGATTTGACTTGAAAGCCATTGGTGGTCTGGAGAATGGAGCTAATCTTGCACTTCTTGATTGTTGTTGGGAATTTATGTCATTCTCCCCCTGCTGACATGAAGCACACAAGATTATTCCACCAATTATACTTAGTGAAGCACACACAAAGCCAAGGTAAAGGGCATGCCCAATCTCATATTTCATCCCATCGGGCAACATTGGGTTGTAGAAATTAGTCACCACGACATTTGTCATCCAGGAAACAGGGATGAGACACACAATTCCAGCCAGTATGAAAAGGATGCCACCTAGGACAGCAAAGATGTTTTTGGTGGAGGACCCTTTAGCACATTGGGTACACTTCATGCCGACAACAGCAGTCACACAGGCCAGAGCTGAAAGAATGCACGATATCACCATCATGGCCTGGGCTGCTTGAAGGTCACGAGGCAAAGCAAGTGGTGAAGGATGGAACTGACACTGGGAGATCCCAGTACTGTGCCAAGCACCTTCCATCCAAAGACCCTTTATGTATGCCACGGCTATGATGATATTGGTTCCTACATGAGCGCTGTTCCACCAGTGAGGCAGGATGGTTGCAGTGATGGTTCCAGCTAAGCCAAGAAGACTCAAAAGAAAGCCCAGCAGCTGAAATTCCATGCTTTCCATTTCAGTGTCCACAGTACCCTAACGATTCTGTTGGGATCTTTGTTGGGAATTCTTCTGAAAAATCACCCTTTCCTGGTATATATATGGCAGATTTGCTTTGATACCTCCTGAACGCCTAATAAAGAATAATTGTAGAAGAAGAAGTTAAACATTATAGGAATGAATTTCCCGGTGACCAATAACGTACATTCCAAAGGTACTTAATGTAATGATTAGCATATTTCACTGACTTTAATGAACTCCATGAAAATGGGGAGAAAGCTCATTATTATTTA